TGAAAGAGGATATACTATTTCCTCAGACTTAAACCAAAGCGGACCAAAGTATTCCACGTCTATCGAGGTGTTAGTTACCGGGGTTAGACTCAGGCCTCAATAAGCGCAAGTTTCGCATCACTTGATGCATTAAATTCAGCTTCTGAACGCAACTTGTTTTGAAATCTTCGAGGTTTTAGTGCGTGTTAAATGCTACCAAAAAAAGACACCAAGTTCAGCTCATACAGAGATCTGATGACACGAATCAGCCAATAGCCTTACGACCTTCAGTTTGCTGACTTCTGATTGGGTGGTTATGTAAGTGCGTATACACTGGCGCAGGCCAAGTCTAAAATGGGTGAAGCAAGGGCGGGGGAATCGTTTGGGAAGAAAGCATCTGACTTGAAGCATGAATGATTGACCAACCAGTCCACAATTTCATCATCTTAACTGGTTAAAATTATTTCAAGTGGGATGGATAATTTTTGTATCTGAGTTGCCCTCAAGCTGTTCCCTTGGGAGGATTGGTTGAGAGAGCTAAGGATGAACTGAACTGTTAGAATCTCAAAATTTTAGCATATACCAAAGAGACAGGAGGAGGCATATATAATTACTAGTGACATTACCTTGAAGTGGTAATTAATCAAAGAACATTCCTTGATTACATTAAAATGGAGATGTATGCGACCCAGTTAAGCGCTTGGACCGAAACACAAACTTAACTTTTCGATTACATCAATTACCTTTTTCCGACTCAGTATGGACTCCACTATGCTTGATTGCAGTAGTATTTCAAGCAGTTTGGATGGAAAAGAGGCTAGCCTCGACTACTACCACCAACACCACCGCCACCGTCACTGTGTTATGCCCTGGTCCACTGCAATGGGAACAAGTTGTTTTGTTCGGGGCATAATTGGCTTACCGAATTTCTGTCTTAACCCTTGGTTTTTACTACTCACCTAAGCAAATGGTATAAAGGCAGGTTTAAAAGGCCAACTTTCGCTTGATTTTCTTTTAGCCTGAAAAACTGTTTTCCTTCTAAATAGCTCTCCTCTGCTGGCGATGTTGCGTACATGTAAAAACCAACTGCCAATGTGTGCCTCATTCCATAAGAAAGGTATTACTGGCTTTTGTATGTATTTACTCAGCTTGAAATTGCCAAAGTTTACCTGTGGTTTGGTAGAGGGTGGTAACACATTGACCTATGAATGATAGTGTGGAACCTCAGAGACATCCAGATGGTTCACAACTGTATGCGTGTTTAAAAAAAGAGGAGAGAGGAAAGAAACTATCGGTCCAGTGCACTTTGTGGTGTCCTTCGTTGCACACATGAAGGTGCTGCGGTAAAGACGGATCAGGTCACAGCTCAAACAAAGAGAATTCGGGACCGAATTCAAAGTTGAGCAGCAGAAGGAATGGAGTGTTGTGTGGGACAAGGCGTAGAGAGTGGTCTCATGACTACTGACATGCTCACTTGCCTTCTTTTCCATATAATTGAAGCATCACTTTGGATAGCCAATAGGATTTGCCTTCCTTAACATCCTTCCTGAGAAACTGTTTTTCTTCGCAACGATTGCAATCGCACTTCTTTGCTCTCTTTTTGAAGTCAGAGCCCAAAATTTTGTCGCTAAGCTTTTTGTGACAGCACAGGAGCAGATCACAACGTCTGGAAATAGATTAAATGACGCCGTCCTGATTGCCGCATGCTCAAACAAGTAGGCACAACCAACACGTCCTGTTGGAAATTGTCTTAGACGCTTCCAACTGTCCGACGAGAGAGACAGACAGACAGGCAGACAGACTTCGAGACACGATTTGTAAATTCCCACAAAACGTTAATTGTCAACACCAGTGTACCTCTCTAGATCACGTAGGTCTGTCTGTTTCCGCTATTAACGAATCTCGCTTCGCGGGTGGGACCAGCTTTTATCACATAGAAGAAAGACACCAAAGGCACAAGGAGGCTCCATCCTCGTAGTTGTTGAACAGTGAAAGAGTGAAATAAAATCGCTTGCCTCAATGCCAGCTCCACGTCCATAGGGTTACTAAAATGAGCTCCCAAAACTGCTGACAACTTCCTCTCAACCACAGAGAGGTAGGTGAGCAGTCGAGGAGCAAAAAATCACCGAATGGAAGCGACCAGTAGGTAGAGAAGGGAGGGAAATCTGTGCTTGCAAGAGTGCGTAAGGTGGACTGGAGAGAAAGAAGGCGACATAAGGTGAATGAATAACTCACAATGCATTAGCGGAGAAGGATCACGCCTGCCAGTCACGCCAATGCAGCATGGCAACGAAAAGTCAAATGCTGGTAGAGAGCAATCGACTTGGGGAAAAGAAAGTAGCTAAGGGGTTTGGCTGCTACTGTCAAAGCAGCAACAGCTACACATTCTGCCTCCTTCTCAAATCAAGTTTTGCATTTGACAGTGAGTGAAGAGGGGAAGTTGTTGTCCTCTAATGGAAAGTGGATAATGCAGAGCAACAAAGCGGTCTCCGTCGACTTTTTGCATGCACCCATCCAGGCAGTTGGCATTTATCCTGTCGACACCAGTCGCCGTGGGACATGGAGTGGTGATTAATGGGCAAGTGGATTCTCCCTCCCCTCAATCGGCACACACATTTAACCCCATTTTCAGTGCTTTCATTCCATCAACAGCGTGCCTTGTAGCCATTGTATTATTTTGTTGGTGCCTTTTGAAATAGGACACTTAAAAAGCGATCTCATTTTGATCATGCTTCATTCCAGGTGGTTGATGCCAGCGTTACACACGCTTCACACCACATATGCAACAACATAGTGGTATGAGACTTTTATTGAAGAATATTTACACATTTAGCAAGTGCTGACTTTGAAGAGCAAGCCCTGAACGAGATTAAAAGGAAGACTACAACAGAACGAGGAATTTCAAAACGTCCGAATCACTGACTCCCCTCTATTGCACACCTTGATAGTTGAATGTCTTCATAGGAGGGCGTACAAAAATGATGACTGTTTTCCAGTCACACGCTTAAGAGTACCCTGGCTTCACTACTTATTTGATCAGCGTGGAAAAGTAGAAAAGCATTCAATAGCACAACCTTCTTAAACAGTTCTTAGCTGACATAAATCATGCACTTGACTGACGCCTTTTGCATTCGTCGTAGGGGTACAAGTACTTGAAAGCTGCTCGATCTGAGCAAACACTCACGAAAGGAAGCTCTTATATGCCATTAACTTCTCCCAGCACTTTCGGGCTTTTCTGCCACTAATGAAGGGAATTTCTGTCCCCTTACCATGTCCTCCTTCCGAGAAGGACAAATTTAATTAGCAGTAATCAGTGAACATTGCACATTGTTGCCTTTGGCAAGGTACTTTTCGTCAGGCCTGAGTTCGTATACAAATTTTTGTTTGAAATAACATCTTACTGTTAAATAAATAGTAGCATCGATAGTATAACAATCATTGCTAGTGGCTTCGATAGAACACACAGAAAAGCAAGCAGATAAGGCCGTTTATGGCCCTTAATTTGGTTCACTTTGAACATAAAAGCACTGTAATTGATAAACCCGCTCTAACGAGATGATAAAACCCTAAAATTAAAGAAATGGACGCGAAGATTCTTCTTTGTTTTCGTTAATAATTAATTAATTAACAAAGGCCTCCTGATCACCGACCCTTTTAGAATGGTCCACCTCGCATACGACCTGACATCAGCGCTTGATGGTAGGTAAAAAGATACTGTGTTTGCACGCAAAAGCGGAATTGCTCATCAACTCCAAGGTTGAACCAACGATTCGACGACTCAGAGACGAGCCTCTCTGGTTGATTCTGTGCCTTTTAAACACTTCTTCTTGCTCCTCCAGCACCCCACTTCATTCAAACGAATCTATCGATCTGAGCAAATATGCTTCCCTTTTTCGACTGTTTTACCACACTTACACTGAAGCCTACTCTGGCCTGGACATCAATGCCTCTATAAGTGAAGAACGTGGCGTGCTGGAAGATTTAGCCCAACTAGCGTGCCAAAGGTTAATCTATCTTTGCTTAACATTTTGCCGTTCTCCTTCAGCTGATGCTTCTCATCTCTGACCAATGGGATAGCATAAATGCTTCCGTAAAATCTCAAAGAGCACAAACTCAAAGCAACATCCCAAATGCGATGTTTCCTTGTAATTTTGCAACAACAAGGTGCACCCGTCGGTCTTTGTCGGCATTAGAAGACTAGATTTAACGAAGTCCAACATGTAATACGATCAGTGCCGCCTTATAAGTACTTGTGGCTTGTTTGGGTTAGCCCCTTATGGAAGTAATGAGATAAGTCGAGAAATGCAGTTGAATGTAACTGAACCCTCGGCTTTAGCATCCCTCTGGTAAAGATACCAATATCCTAGCCCTCAACAAGCCACAACATTTGCTACTTGTTGAATTTCAGTAACATAAGTAAATTTTACAAAAACAGCACATCCAAAACAATTTGAGGGAATTTAAGACGATTTCTATTCACTACCCCCAAAAGAACATATTGATTTGGTAGGGGAGAGTGCAATCAGCTGCCAATCGCCTTGGTGATGTGGTGACTAAGACGCATTCATTCCGGGCAGATAGTCGACTTATTTCGAGAATGAATTGTTATCCTCTAACCCCGATGAAGTGGGAAAGCGATGAGCTACACGATAGCCAGTCTGTCCTTTTTCATAATCCGAAAGCCAAATTGATGCAACGGAATAGTGAAAATAGAAGTCAAAATGTATCCCGTTCTAGAGCAAACTCTTCTGTCCCATTGCTGTCTGCAGATATAATAGATGCAAACTTATTTCTAATGAATTATTTGACTACAACAAGATAACTAGCAAATGACAGACTCTTTATTCTCTTCAATCCAATTTAGAAGGATTCATGTAGGTATTTAAAAAATGCAATAGTTTTAATTACCATAATTCAACCGCTATTTGCAGCCTCTAAATCTTTCGCTTATGAGTCGAAATTGCAACTCGAAGCGTAGGAAAGAAAATCGTTTGTCAGGACAAGTTAGAGAAGAGTTATTATTACTGTTCTCGTGGAGCCCGTGAGCGCTCACGACATCGTAGAAGGGAGGCCTCGGTTTCTTCGCGTATGTCGCGAACTAAGCTACGCACCCGACGTGCCAAGACGGGCACTGATGACGGGTCTACTGGTGCGCTTGGTGTTATCGACGACGGTTGTGACCGTGAAGGGGATGAGCGAAGACGCGAACGGGAGGCATCACTGGAGAAGGGTAGATAGGAATTCTCACCTGAGCCACGCGACACTGGTGGTGCTCCTTCAGCGCCCCTCGGTGTAGGGAATCGAGAGCGACCTCGAGAATCAGATTATGAAAATGAGAAGGACAATTCAAATAGGTTGTCATTTAGCCATCACCGTTAGGTAGCAAACGCACGAGAATTGGTTGAAATATATTTTAAAGAATGGCTAAAAAAGACGATATGGGCAACTCACTTTCACGGACCCTTGTTCGTTGCAATTCATTTTCCAAAAGAGTGATAATTTTTTCTTGATCACGAACAGTCCTTTCCAATTGACGACACCTATCCGATCTTCCATCCATCTAAAGCCGAAAATGAAGACTTCGTCTGCCGGCCGCCTTTCAAAGGTCAATTTTCTCCAACTTGCTATCAGTTGGCAGATCTATTACGATGTCAGATAACTAAGGCCACCAGGTCCCACCAAGTTACCGTTCGAATGAGATACAACCATAAAAATGTCTTTGCTTAACAATAATACACCTGAGGCAGGGGCTCCTGTATGTATCTGCTTATAGCTTATCAAATTCGGAGACAGCCACAGCACTAAAGTCAGGCGTAAAAATATAATTCACATGTCCTTGACGTTAATAGAGGGCGAATTCACCTTCATTCTTATTATTTCAAGCTGCATTGCAAATACATTCAGAGGACATATCACGTAGATGGACTCATGCTCCTCATGGTTGAGGCCTAAATGATCAACTTTAGCAAGTGAATATCCCCAAAACGACAATTTCTTTCGGCACCTGAATCCATATTTGGACACTTAAAATGATGAATCCATTTGAAAGATTGGAGGCAAAACAATCGAATGGAGGCAATCATGGATATTGCTCACCTGGGTGAAGGATCTCGGTCTGGCAGGAGCCCGAGGAGGTGCGGAGGAAGTCATCGAGAATCGACTTCCTACAAATCAATAAGCGGTGACCGGTAATGGTAGCAAAGAGACTGACAAACATAGTCAACAATTTGGCACTGAATAATTTGGGATCTTTGAAGAATGAGTACACCACTTTCAAGAGGGAAAACGCCGCAATGCAAGCATTAAAGTATAGATGACCAGTTTCAAATTAAGTCGTTGTGTCCCTCGTCCTGCGATAAACTAGTTTGTGACTAATCAGATAACTAGCATTTTCGCATCACTAAGACACCTACCTTGTGATGTTCGTTGTGATGCTAACGGTATGCCGTTCTCAGATCGAGCCTGACGAGAAGAAATGCGTTTAACTTGACACAGCACTGGGATCACCTCAAACCGCTCACCCGATGGACTTTGAAAGCAAAAGTTGTTGCCACGTGCCTGCACCACAGCAATTGAACAAATAAACCTTTTTGGTCCGTTTACTCTTGCATTTGACTAATTAGCTACCCAAGTCTCCACCCCGTCAATCGACTCAAATACCTTAAACCTTTGAAAGCATAACACTAACCTAGTTGTGAATGTTATAGACGAATTTCGGATTTATTTCTATAAGGCAGTTTCATAGAGCATTTTGTGAAGGTTGCATTTCTAAGCAGATGATCGTTTGGGTGGCATGACCTACTGAACCACACTCAGGACCGTACCTGACCGGTGACGACGAATTGATCCAAAGTTTGTGTGGGAGAGTAATTATTTGGGAGAGATTTGAGGGGAAATCCAAAGCTCCTGACCACATCGCTTGGACCAGAGCTATACTCGGAGATTTCGTCTCCTGAAAGCTGAAAACAAAGCGCTGCTTCAGAAATTACGCATGGCTCTGGCGATAATTCTCAGTGATTTTCTAGAGACATATTAAAGGCAGAGCAGATTGCGGTAGAAGTTACGAGCTACTCAGTTCTTACTTAAAATAAGTAGGTAAGAAACCTCTGCCTTTGATGTAGATTGGCCTTCATAGCACCTGCGTAACCAAAACATGGACGACAGTTTATAACTGACCTATGCCCACGACGACAAAGTAAACATCAGCAGGCAAAATATGTGGCTTGGAGGCGAACTGTTTCAGTTTCACGATGAGAGTAAACTGCCAGGAAACATTACACAATTCGAAGGGTCTGATTGGCGATGACACACGTTTAGCAACAAGTAATTCGCTCATGCAAACCGCAAGACCAAAACACTCCCAAACCAGTGCTTCATTCTATCGTTTTGTGAATCGACACCACTTAGATTCGCTTGAAACGCGCTGTCCGCAGTTGTGATCCATGGCGCTACGGCTTGAAATCCGAGACAAATGAGCAACACAAATTCAATTAAATGAACATGGGGAAGGAGGAGAAAATTGAAAATAAATGTGTGAATTAATGGATAATGTTATTAACTTTTAAAAATGTAGGGTAACAAAATTAACGCATTATAAGTCGTTAAGCTTTGGCAAACCTTGAATCTTTGAATATTTCGCCATAACAGCTATGAAATACAGAAGAAGGAACATTTAATCGCAAACATCGTTGATTTGAAGCTGCACCTTTCTACCAACGCCATAATATTAAAATGTGCTTGAGTTCAAGAATCCCAAATGGATTAGTTCCAACACACTTCGCTGCATCCTTTCCATTTAACTTTTAAATTTTTTGGTTTACCCACAAAATGAACATAAATACGCCTAAACATTTTGTAGGTGAAGTAGCGAAGTAAGTGCAACGGTCTCAATCACATTTCTAAAGCGTAATTCCATCATCGAATCCCTTCGACTCACCTCGACGCTCTCCGATCTGTAGTAGAAAGTATTCATCCCATCAACAGTTCTTAAATGTCCTCCTGTATGTGCGTATGTAGGGGCAGTCGATGGACACATGAATTGGCAAAGTCGAGCCCGCAAACGCCTCTCGTTTAAGCATCACCTTGGCAACCATTTTGCCTCATTGGTGCGTGAATGGAGTAAACTTCCATAAAAGCAATTCTGAACACTTCTATAGGCCTAACTTAATGTATTAAACTTCTTGTAGGACAGATTTTAGTAGGAATATACTTTTACTTGATCGGTATTTCTAGCTTTAGCATGCACTGTGTTCCCGTCGTCATGCTTTGGGCCATTCCCCCACTATTCAGGAACCGAAATAAGTAAACGAGACTCAAGATTGCCTGTTTTATGGACTAACAGCCCGATATTGGAAGACGCATCGATGCTAATCTCCGGACAGCATCATAATTTCCACATCACTACGCTATCCGCCGGTATTTGCTTTATTGGAGGACATTTCTCACAACTCATTGCTTTCTTCTTTAGTATTGGAATAGCTAGCGACACCCAAACAATTGTTTCTACTCTAGTTCAGACCTGTGAGGTTATTTAGACATTACGAGTTCGGTTATTTAAGGTTGCTAATGCCCTCAATTTCAGTGAGCCATCCTGATTGGGTAAACCAGAAGCTCCTTCTCCGGCGTAAGACTCCAACGTGTTCGACCTTTAGGTGCCTCGTGTCGGCGCTCTCTAACTCCTGATTGGCCAACACCATGGGCGTTCACGTGGTTAGGACGGCAGATGAATATGATGCGTACAGACACGAATTGTAGGGCCAAAGTTACTCAAATGCCAAACAGATAAAGAGATAAAACTCACAATGTAGCAGTGAATGTGGCATTTGCAATGCTTTGTCTACGCCTGCTATAAAGGCTTCCCGCCATTGTCACTGACACTGATAATGTGAAAAGCTTCGTGTTTTACATTATGTAAATGGGACTTCCGCCCATAGTCGTGGAAAGTTATCGCCCTTTTTTACGCCCACCTTCACTGTAATTCATTAATAAATTCTGTCCCGACTCCATGAATGAAATGTTCGTTATACAAAGGCAGTGGCTGCTTGAAGGTGGACGTATGGTCCGTTGTGTTTGGACTTCCGAGCGCCATGTGACGCAGTAAGCTTGTGTGATGACAGTCCGTGGGCTTATTTATGCACGGTGTAATGTTGCGAGTGAGGCTGCGCAGTTCATTTATCGAGACCAAAGTCTTGCAAAAACTGCATCGAAATTCGGGATGGAGAATCAAAGAGAATACGAGCGGAATGCCGAAGTAGGTTTGTTATTATTGGTCCAGTAGGTGGACAAGCCTAAGCGAAGGCAGTAGAAGTTGCAATTTTTGTCTTTTTGGGTACAAAAGGGCACGCCATTGGACTTTCACTCAGCAGCATTGCCTCCTATCAACATTGGAAGTCCTCGGAGAGAGGAGGGTGTCTCTGGATCGTATGGTTATGACACTCGAGTCTGAAGGAAGGAAGCAGGTTGTGAAGGGGCGAATCTGCGATGCTTTCTAAGAGAGGGATTGGGAGTGGCAAATAGTCTACTTCTCTGTTCTACAGGAATGTCGAGTCACACCTGATTGGACACCAGATGTGACCAAAACAAAAATTGGCAATGCTACCTCTTTCACACCTCCACCAAGTGAAGTGAATCCGAATAAATGGGAGAAAAGGGTGCTAAATTGGGAATTGGCTCACAAAATTAACTCCCGTGAAGTTATAAATTCCGTGATCTCTGCTACATCATGTCCCTCCGTCAGGTGGCAGCCCAGCTGTTGGACTGACTACAACTCTGAACCCACCTGGGAGGCCAACAACAGCTGAGTTGAATACTGTTTCAGCTGGAGTAAAGTTTGACATCTGGAGCTGTTACCTTGGGGGTGAGGTCAACACATGAGGCCGACCAAAGGGGGATCACCCTAAGATGTCGATTTGAGCCATGACAGTAGCGCCTCAACACCTCCTATGGGTTGAACGCGAATGAACGCAGATGCAATGCGTAAAACACCTTCAAATTTCCGTAGACTCTGCTAGATGGTAGGCAAATGGTTTCAATCCTAAAAGTGCAGAAGCTTCCTACACAAACAGTGGAAATGTGGTTTAAGTAAGGGAGTCACGTGATGAATGGCTCAACGGTGATTGTTAAGTAGAAGATGTGTGTCATCACGTAGAAATTCCTATAGTCGTACTGATTAAGAATCCTTGATTATGGAATTATTGGCAGTAAATAGCGACATCGCCGAGGAGAGGCGTAGAAGGTGACAGGTAGAAGAGCTGAGAAGTCAACAGCCTTTCATTAGAAATTGTCGATCAAAGTGGAACAGGTAGTTATAAAATAGATGGAGAGAAAGAGAAGAGGTTGAAGCTACATAGAGAAGTCGTATGGAAGTGCAACACCTGGAAAGGAGGAGGAGGACGAAGGTTGACAGCTTTGAAGGTAAGGTAGGATACGTCAGATAGCCCTCCTGAATAGGTCATTTCAGCGCTCCTCTGGAGATTGAATAGCCTCCCCCCACTTCTATCTACACCTTCGTCCAAATTTAGATCCAAGTCTCAAAAAAAGGAGCTTCGGTACCACCTCTTCCAACACTCCTCCGAGTCATGTGTAGTACAACCACAACAAAGCCGCCATTGATGAGGTAAGCAGCTGCCGCCTGTGTGATCGCGCAAGCCACAGTTCGCATGGCACGTGACAACCCCATCACGCCACAGACTCTGAAACCACTCTTCACCACAATTGTAACCGTGTTCAGCAACCGGTGGTGAATAAAGTTTCGATAAAGGGGCAACCCCACCGCATCATCAATGATTCTTCAACTAGATGAAGTGGAGTGAGTAGGGCTAACTTAAATGAGATTGGGGAAAAACAACAGTCCACCCCTGCCTTCCCCATCCGCCCCCACCAGTCCATGCCTTGAGTCGACAAAAAATGATTAGCCGTGTAAACTAAATCAACTTGATGATGAAATACGCAACCCTGAAGCCACATAAAGAAGGATGAGAAGATCGCCGATGGGAAGAGGCAAAGGTGAATGTATTATACAATGGCGGATAGAAGAGGACAGTTGATACAAGAACGAGTTGTGATCAGCAACAATACCCCTCCGGGAGGTGGACTAACACCGCAGTAGTGGAAGCAGCAACAGTAGAACAATCAATCCAATCTAAGGTCAGCAACGCATGCACACACGACCACACTCTCACGCAAACTTGCCAAGAGACACCCAACAGACCAATAAGTAGGTCTATCTGCGCGCTCCAAATCTAGCAATAGGTTGAATGGGCAGAGAGGACCTCAGCAGTGCACATCACACCACCAGCACACAGGTAGAACGACAAAGCCTGTCTATCTGTGCTGGTGGTGGGGTCTCTTTATAAGTCAAAGAGAACCGTGCACATACAACAAGCAACTGAGGTGGCTCAATTGTAAGCACCCAAATGGGCCAAATTTTTTCAAATATGGGTGATCCTTACAATCTTCAAGCACACTCACACAAACACAGACACTTCTACATTCCACAATCATACAAGCAATTCTAATTTTCTGCTGCAACTACTACCACTAAAGCAAGTGTGCCATCTGCGGAGGAGAAGGTGCCAATCAAAGGGATGGGAAGAACTAATCTGGAGCGAAGGCGACTTGAGGGATACTGCCTGAGGCATGCATTTCCTGAAAACTGGCCAATGCGGTCTCGAACTGCCATCCAAATTCTTGAAGACACTGACGAGAGTAGGCCAAATTCATGCCCGTTTGACGACGAAACTCTATCACTGCTGCCTCCTCACTGTTCCCGGGGGCATTGGAAACAACAGTTGGCTGTGTCACCGCTTTGGCTTCAGCTTCAGCCTTTACCCGCTTCTTGACCTCACGGATATAGCGCTATAAGCAAGAGACAAGTAGAAATGATCAAACAGGCAATCTAATCCCGCACAAAAAGGGACAAGTAACTACCTGGATGAGAGGCTCTGTGGGGTTCGAGACGATTAAATTATCTTGGAGGATATGTGTCCCCGGTGCGATGAGAATCATTGACCTAGTGAAGCAACGCAGCACCTTTCGCAGAGGAGTATTTTCGCTCGTAGGTGTCTTATTCTCGTAGAAAACACCTGTTACATTGAATATTATTTGCTGTTCCTGAAAAAAAACAACGCTAGAGTATGCCGCAGAACAAGAAAGGGCCATCCACTTCGGAAACTTACAGAGTAGCTAATCACATCAACACAGAAGGACTCAAGGACGTGCTCAGTGGCAGGTAACTTCCCCAAAGCAGAAGCGATGTTAAGAGGACCCTGGCAGATAAGCTCGTGGCGCTTATTCTCATCCTTGCAGCGCAACAGATTCCGGTTTTGCTTGTAGTAAGTATCATCCACATTATTGGTAAGGAGCTGGATCTTCTGATTCAAGGCACTTCCTGAGTCGAGTGTTTCAAGAACACTTTTTCCTGTGAATTGCGAAGCAGGGTTCACACAAATCGTCAGTGTTGAAGCCGATGTGTAGTAGGAATAGATAGATTCTCCACGCTGTGACGAATCGTAGCGATTAAAGTACCTGTGGACGGGAAGCGGTGGGATGATGAAAAAATAAGACCAATATCTAACGAATAAATGACCAAAAAAACCGTAATTTACTCCATTAGGAAGGTAAGCAAAGGCACTCGAATTTCCTCATTTCCGAAATGCCCCTGAATTGACGATGGAAGCCGAATTCTTGGAGCACGAGTAGTTTCGGGAGCTTTAGAACCCTGCTCGATGGCAAACTGAACCGTCACCTTGATTGGCCTGTCATTCTGGAAGCGCAGAAGGGAATCGAACCAATGCAAACGTCCCGCACCCCACTTCGCATAGGAAAAAACTTACCAGCGTCTTCAATCCGGGAAGAATCCGCACGATTTGCCTATCCAGAAATGTAGGGCAAGATAAGAGATTAAGTAAAGGCACGTGCTAGCAATTCGAAAACGAAAATTTAAGAACACTTGAGTGAGTTTTCTGTAAGCTAGCAACGTAAGTATAAGATCTCAACGCCTTCTATATGGACTGTCCTTTTCAAACTACAGATAATGATGCTCCAAATACTAATCTTCCAACACAATCAACTTTAACAATACGTACATTCTAAGATACTTCTTAAAATAGACAACGTATTTCCAAAGAAAACGATCCCACCTAGTTGTCCCTCACTTCCTCACACCCAACTATCTCAGAACCTAAATAAGACACCAAAACCAAATCCTAAAGGACTAAAAGGCAAGAAACCCGTCAAAAAACTCACGCTTCGATCAGTTTGCCGCTATTTGGGTTGGACAAACGACCCGCTAATGGCGTATCCGTCAGGTCAAGGTGAGTAATCCCAGGTACTGCTTTCAGCCCGTCAAGATTTCGTGCATTGTTAATCTGATTTCCGCTCAGGTCTATCCGCTCAAAGGCGTATGTGGGTGGTCCCAGGACCTTACACATATCTTCAAACGGTTGCACATGATTCAATCGGTTGTTCGATAGATTCAAGGCGAAGAGCTACAATCGAAAAGAGACGAATTTAAAAAAATTTAAAATCACCAGACCCATGCGCTCTCATAGAAGCAATTCCACAAGTCGTGATATATGCACCATTCCTACCTCCAAACACTCAGAGGCTGATATGGAGCCTTCGATATTGCTGGGTTGTTCGCTTTTGAAAGCCGCAAATACAATCAACTCCGAAAATCCAGCATATACAATCGCCAAAAATCCGAGAGCGTCAATTGAAAGACAAAAATTAATATGTTGAGCTATATCAAACCCCTATAACTCAATAAGGGCTTCGGAGAGAGCTCATTTTGCTTTAGCTGGAATGTACAAACGATCGTCTCAACAACCGCTGTCAGATCCAGCACATCAGCTGATGGATAGGTGATAAAACTCACTTTTGCGTTATTTTCCTGAAGAATTGCAACGAAGGACGAAAAAACAATGGTCTTGTTCAGGGGTATGAAGTAGCCCTTGTTGAGGAGACTGAGATCGGTATGAAGACTGGAGAGATCGAGAGTATTAGTAGTGGCCTGAAACCGCTCCTTAAAGCACTCCCTCAGAGCAGCCATCCAAGAATCAGGAAGAAGAGGAGCAGCAACACCACTGTTTGCATTAGCCGAAATAGTTGGAACTTCAGGTTCGCTGCACGGCTTGATATCACACACAATGGGAGCGCCAGTTGCAGGATTTGTAATCCCCTTAATGGCTTTGCTGTAGTCTCCGAGCTAAATAAAAGAGAAACGGATTTGAGCGCCCTTCGCACCAGAAAATCAATGAAGCCGGAACTGAATAAAGATGTGTCCAGCAGCCGTGCACACACTGCTATCAGGATATGCTTCGTTTAACATCATTATCCATACCTCATAGTTGAACTATGAAGCTCTACTTGATGTACTGATATATATGTCCTTTAAATAAATTAACAGCACTACACCGCACTGCGAACCAGCTAAAGTTTGTCAATTTAGCACAACACCGACACTCCGCAGGCAAACACCTGAAAGAGCTCTAGATTGTGCAATGCCACACATGTTCACATGTACACGATAAAACAACTCACTTTTTTGGATCGAATCTTGAAGAAGAAGGCACAGTTTCCCCCTCGTGGCATGAAGTTGTAAATTCGAACAGTGGTTCCAATGGCGGCACTGAAGCTTTCTTTGAAGAAATCAGTGGACAATGTTCCTCCATTTGCAATATTTGCGCGGACCCATACTTCTCCATGGGAGGAGACGTAGGAGCGAAAATATTCGGTACCAGGAGGAGGACCACCAAACACAACTCTTCTAACGGCCTCATTACTGATATTGGGGTGTGAATTGTTACGATGTCCACGCCTTTCCAAGTTCCAACCATTACGAAAACGCGGGTAGCGAGTGGAAGTGTCCTCGTTGTCCAGATCCACATAGTCACCTAATATTTGGAGATGAAATTCAACGCAGTGATTATAAGAAACAGAACACCTAAACTAACCAAAGAGTGGAGGGAAATCGAAAATGCACCTATCTCACCAACTTGTATTTGGTAAGCATAGCGAGAAACCCAAAGCGTGTCACAAAGCTTGAATAATATAGAACAAGAGATATAAAAAACAGAATGTCTGAAATCAACTACCCTTCCGATAGGTAAACTTCCTATTCCGATTCTTCGCGTAGTTCAACCTCGGCATGATGAATACTCAAATGCGAGCCAAGGCATTATGTAAAGCAGTCAAACAAATTGCGACAAACGATTAAAACAAACATAGAAGCCTATGATTTGCAATAGATGACTTTAAAAATTAGGCAATTTTTTTTTGCCTTTTTTATTTTAATTTTTTTCAAAATTTTCTAAACTAATTTTTTGTAAAATTTTCATTACAATTATTAGGTTGCCTGCTTTCTGACAACACTATGGCGTATTCGGAAATGCTTAAGAGCCCAACTAGATTGCAACGTTTTTGAAGCACTTGAAAGTGCCTTTAAATGTAAAATTCGACATTACGCGATTATGAATTATGCAATTACTACACGCACTGGTTAAAAAGCCACTGGTATTTTTCCCCGTTTGCTTCCAAGAAAACCCAAACTTTATTGTCTTACTGGGTAAAGAAGGCATTAAGTAGAGCTAAATGTGTGTATTCCAGCGGGAACGAATGGATCAGTTCGGAGCTTTTTTCGAGGACCAGTCCATGCGCTAAATGACCGTAGGAGCCTTAAATTAATCACTAGACATTAGACAAGTATTGGCGATTAAGCGATTCGAGCACGAATCAGGTTCGTGTGGCGTGCTAAGACACATCCACAAGGTGACGCAGACCTATAATATCACAAATTCGCCCCTTTTTCTTTTCTGTCCATGATGTTAAATTAACTACCCCCAAGAGGCTCTCCTATGAAGTCCGAGGTTCATACCCCTGAGAGTAGGTGGAGAGGCTCTACGTACAACTGCATAGTTTTACTTGGACTACCAAAACACTACAGATTACTCAAAGATTATATTTTCACAGAGACTCCTCCATGGTCTCCACCCAGATTAGATTTTGGCTCCATTTCCACAGCATATGTCGGGTGAATATTATAACGGAATCCTCTGTTTGTCTTAGAAAGATAACGCACCAAGTGACTGTGGGATAGCTTACACAGCCATACCCCAGAGACATACGCACTGACTGCACCTACGGAAAAGGTTTGCCTGCAACTTTATAAAGACATCTGGTCACTTCTACATTCTAGTAGTACATGGAGTCCATATGTTGCTTGCGGCGCGCCCATACTTGTACTGCAGCGTTTAAACGACTATATACCGACACAACTTGATCTATTCGTCTGGTTAAGCTCATACGTTCAAAATATCGTTGGTGACATTTATCTAGACGACTAGACGACTTCAAAAAGTGACGCTTCTAATCCTCCCAGAATTTTATGCAAATGTACTGGTTGAGCAAGGAGCACATATCGCGGACGAAGACTCCTTTTAATGTAATGACCTTAAACGTGTTTTGCAGTTTCCAGTATCGCCAAATTCAGTGTTGTATTGTGATCTTCCGCATTCCTAAGATCACGATGGTGAAAGGTCCATAAAGTAAGTCTTGTAGTGAGAGATGCTCAACCTTCTTTTGATTCGAAAGGACAAGTTGGTGGACGAAATCTAACACACTTCCTGATGCTCAGCCATATCCCTGGCTGAGTACCTTCTGCTTGAGTAGGACAGGAAGACGTCATAGAGGATAAAATGTTGCAGGGATCAGCCTTCGTCTTCCTCCGAGGGGGCGGTGTCGTGCAATCAGTCTCAAAGGGTTAGACTACTGCCCATCACCTCAAAGTATCCACCTCAGCACACACGTTGTCTCTGAATTCGATATCCAAACATCATGGAATCCCCAAATACATCTCTTGCACAGTCGAAAATTGACGACTACATAGCTCGCGGATGCTAGTTAACATGGGAAAGGGAGAAAGCCATTTACAGGATGTTATGAGCAGCGCAACCCACGAATGATCAGAAAAGTGAAACTTGACTGTCTACCCAAAGTAATATGCTCATAGAAGGCAAAATTACAACTTAGAATCCACTGGAGGACCGGTTCCTAGTATGGACTCTCTTAAGCCTGAGGAAAACGCCAATATTCAATGGTCACGGTCGTAGCGTACCGACCAGACAGGAATTTCAACCCCATTCACTCATTCTGATTAACCGGGACATGGACCAGACAACTGAATTCCTTGCCCAATCCATCAAAACAAATACGCACGACAACATAGTCGCCGGTTCAGTCTGAAGTAGTCTCAACCAGTTGGAGTCTGAGATGGTGCTCGCATTGCACGTTTTTGCACAGACCCCTCGCGTCCTGCAGCCTTACTCATTGATCATCATGGTGGTGCTGTCAGAAGAATCCACAACACTGATGCAAAAAAACCGTACTTTATAACAGGTCCAACTCAAGCGGTGGGTATGAGGAGAGACGCATACAACCACCACCATCACGGAATCCAAATTAGTGGAGATCTGAGGGAGCCTGTGTATGATAATTTTGCAGAAAGGTTGAAACCAGACCGAAAATTGAGATTTGTAAGCCATAAAACTGCACATCATCGCGGTAAGTACTTTTTTGCTACCGTAGGTTAGTCCATTTGAGTAGTGCCAACACCAATGTTACGGCGCGATGGATTAGTTTCCTATTACCAAACATAAGACCGTAGAAAAAAAAAATACAGCGCAACAGCATGAATGAGCGATGAAGACGTTTTGGAAACAACAGTTCTGACCACCAACTCGGAGGCACAACGTCAACACTCACTCAAGATAAGAAGGGCTTGATTGAAACCAGACAGTCACGTCAAGCGATCTCGATTACAAGATTGAATAAAGAGAAGCACAAAAAACGCTCTAGAGATGGTTCAAACCCACTGGCAAGTCCCCCCAAGCCATAGCTGAGGACAAAACGCAATCTTAGTTCTTGGAACAGTGTCTACTCAGAACTATACTGCCATCAATGCAGTTGCCGAGTCACAACCTCCACACTTTTTGGACACATCCGTTCAACAACAGACTTCTTGTCAGCCTACCAAGGAATGGCAGCATTAAAAACAGCCCACAAACATCACTCAAGCAAGAAATAATTAAATCGGGTCTAGCCTATGAAGGAGTGTGAATGCATTTTAAATTTGATCACAGTTACAACATCAGATACCAGAGAGAGAGAGCAATAGAGTAGGAAAGGTACAACAAACTACTCGGGAGTCAGGGAAATAGATATGAAGATTAAGTTTATTATGCATTTTTGTTTTCGCCTTTCTCATCGAAAGGATAAGAGAATGACACCCGGATCAAAAGCATGCCTCTAGAGATCCTCCAAATTTCTAAAGGCTGTTGTTATCTCCTCGTTCAGCTCATCAAAATCGGCTAGAATTTGAGCCTAATAAAGTGGAACAGAATTTCTACCTCATTATTTGTGTGTGTGGGAAAGGGAGGAAGGAGGAGGAGAATTCACTGACCTGACTCTCAGTGCGAGGGTTCTTGAACTTCATGTTGGAGAGTTTGTAAAGGGTGGAGCTCATAGCCTCGCGGATGATGGCCCAGGTGATGCGACGCGGTGATTGAGCCGTGGCCTCCACGATGTGTCGCGCTTGATCGTAGAAATGAATGATGTTGCGCATCATTCCCACCGATTTGTAAAATGGACAGAACCTATGAAGGAGAGGAAGACCGAATGCATTCGACAAAGCGCTTATCGACAAAAGTGTCTTCAAATTTACTCTTCACAACAATACTGTGTGTGGGATGGTAGATGAACCCTCCTCACAGAACAGACGATCTCAATGTTACTGGCTGAAAGGCCGATCGAGAGCATCTATTGAGACGCATCGCTTGTACTCCGAATTGCGCGACCTGCTGAAACACCATTTCATTTTCTCATGACACTAATATTCACCAGACTTTCAAGAGGGAATCAGACACCACAACACCTCGGTTGCTTTGGGTGGATGTTCGCCTGGATCGCTGAAGAGAGCATTTTACCATTAAACAGTTCAACGAATCCCAAAGGAGAATGTCTAAACCCCACCGACTTCGATCTCTGCATACCGGCTGGTGTTCGGGAGGAAGCGAAGTTGAGTGAATAAAAATTGCTCACTGGAGACTCGTTTATGAGGTTCGAACGAACCAGAAGCAAATGGATGAGAAAAAGGTAAGAAAGTAATGAAATACAGATTCGTGCGCTTAGTGGAACAGATTTTGACAACAAGAGAAGGAAATGGCCTAATTGTAGACGTCGTTCAGCAAGACAAACAACCTGTGGTGTGATACATAGCTACAAACCGCTCGAAAATTCCAACGAGTTTGACTCAGACTCTGTGAGAATCCTTAGATGAGGGAATCGGGAAAAAAAACGTCAATGTATTTAGAGCTATCAACTATGGTCAAGCCCAGTTCTTTGTTAATAATGGAGGGGTTCTGCGACGATGATCACAAGAAATAGTGGTGGGTGCTTTTTAGGGAAAATTAGGAAATTGATGCCTCAAAAGTAAGTGAAGGCCCAAGAAAGTCGCCCAAGCAAATGAGGTGTAGAGTAATGACAAACCTATCGTAGTCCGAGTAGCCGTTTTGTTGCAAGAAGTCGTCCTTGATGATACGAGCCACCTCCAGAGTGATCTTGTCCGATTCCGCCAGTGACGCCTGGAAAAATGACAGCAATGAGTACAAAATGCCTAGTTTTACTGCATTTCTTGCTTCGAAGACGTCCTTACACGCCTTCATCCATCCAACCAGACCGAATCGTAACGTCACAAAACAAAAGGGCCAAGGCACTCATAAGTTAAAGGATTGGAAAGAGAATGATGCATTTAAGCCACCAGATGCCTCGAATGTGACCCGAATGAGTTCTGGATATTTCTTCAGATTGGACGCTAGATAGCGTCATTCAAATGGGGTTATCGAGCGTCGGTAATGAAAGCCTCTTCAAAACCACAAGGCATGCAAATGGGCCTCGCAATGCAGCTTCAAAACAGGCCATAGTATCCACTTCTATCGAGGCGTCCGAAATGCAAAGCCGCAACAATGCATGTACGAGAAGAACCAACCGATGACACCTGATGTACCACGAATTTCAATCTATCTGACCTTAAATGCAGACAACGATAAAGCATTCCCAAGAAGTACATAGTTTGCAGGCAATTTTGAGTACAACTTTTAAAAAGTGCAAATACGAACTAGAAGTTTATAATGACAGATTTTGAGACACTGGAAGAGGCAACGAAAGTGGCGAGGGAGACACTCCCTTACACATCGCATTAGTGCTACAACATTATGGATCTTGCAATAAGGCGGAGCTCTTCCATGAGGTGCTTGCTGCGACATTTGCACCTCAGCATAGAAGCTCTTGCGACAGTTACAGGAGGGCCTATTGTTTACCTAAATTAGGTAAAGTTAGTGTTTACGTAGGTTTTCTCAAATAACCAACTAAAACACCTGCATAATACTGACTAGACTGCATGTCAAAAAGTCGGCCATCAGGAAATCGGTAGTGAAGGTAAAAAAGGTCCTCCTTTTATCCAGTTAGTTCTAGCAGTACAAATGTTGAAAAAAGGACCTTTTCATCACCCTGCTTGATAGAAATGCCTACCTTGCCAACTAGTTGGACGATCTCTGAAAGGTCCTTTTCCTCCTGCAGAATCTCTTGAACTTTGGTGCGCAGATTGACGAACTCGGGGAAGTTCTGCTCGTAGTACTCGTCCAGGGCGCGTACATACTTGGAGTAGGAGATGAGCCAATTCACACTGGGGAAGTGCTTGCGCTGTGCCAATTTCTTGTCCAGGCCCCAAAAGACCTGATGTGGGAGAAACAAAAGAGGACTATCAACATCCGAATACCAGCATGAATTGCTGTAGGGAGAACCAAATTTTCATCCAGATGATATTCATTTTAATGCGTCAAGGCAAAGTGCTTCACAAAGGGAGTTGCCGTCATCCCAGATCTCCAACCAAACTGCACGATACCACCAGAGTACAAAATAGAGCCGATGGACAAAAATGGAACTTTGTCGTCTTGCCGACTTCGGCTTGGAGAGGGACGCCAATGACAATGATTCGAGAAAGTAAAGATCAACTATCCATACGAAGCATTCTCAGCTTTCAGAGAGCTGGAACCGATAGCCGACCCTATTTACCATCTCTAAACAATAATGTGATTATAGAAGACACAAAAAAAGTGACTGCTTAAGCATAATTGTATTTGCCACAGTTGGATTAGGACGAAAAGTAAACAGCTTTAGAAAGAGTCTACCTCAAAAACGCTAGTTTGTAATTTAAGGACACAAAAAGAGGAAACCATCCGACCCAAACTGGCCTAGAATACTTCCATATGGGACACAAGGGCAAGGAAAAGGCAAAATGTTCTGCACTACCAGTGGTGACGGCAGTAATGAGGTTTTGCAAACCTGAGAAGGATGTTATAACAAAAGTTGTCATCTCCTTCTTTATTGGGCATAAATAGCATTTTTCAAGGAAGGGGAGGGTATAAATTCCCTACCTCCGCATTTGACTTTCCTTAGTTAGTCAAAATCTGCTATAACTCAAGAAAATCGGGAACCGTATCAACTTCCTGTTTCTCAACTCCGAGGCAGTAAAAGTCTTCCTTTGCCTTTGAGTTTAATCAGGATTGCGGGCAATCAAAATGTCACCCTCTCCTGAGAAAACAGCTAATGGACAATGTGGAAGTAGTCTGTGACTATTTCCACAACAAAATCACTAAACAACACTAAAAACTCCCAACCGCGCCATATCTACTTTTGACAAGCGAACAAAAATATTTCCGTCTCGAAATCGAACTTTCAAAGTGGGTTATAGTACAGAGACAAGGACACAAAAATCGTCACCTTCATAGTCTACCTACCTGTACGATGCCGAGGGTTGCCGAGGTAACGGGATCAGAGAAGTCACCGCCAGGTGGAGATACGGCACCGACGATTGTAACGGAGCCTTGACGCTGCTCCGGCCCTCCGAGACACCGCACGCGACCCGCACGCTCGTAGAAACTACATGGATTGAGGCGAGATAAAGAGGAATGAGGTAAATTGCTGCGACATGCATTAGTCTTCTAGACTGGAGGAATGCCACTTGATTCAGTCGTAAGCCCAACAAAATAGGCCTTCCTGGCGCCCTGGGTCTCGACCACTGCCATGGTAGTGGCGCTGCGTCAAAGACGGAATCGTTGTAAAATTTGAACTGACAGGTGGGAGGATTATTTCCACACAGCATTACGCAAACAACCTTTCACAAATTTCTCAAACACCCCCGAAGCTAACCTACAGGAAGCCCTTGGAAAAGGCCACAAATAGTCAAACATCCCAAATATTATTCTATAGGTGACAACAAACCCTACGATTCAATCGTGTACTTATTTGCACGATCACATCGACAGCCCACCAGTACAAAGTAAAATGGAAGATGAGAGACGAACTTAGCAAGACGGGCACCGAGGTAGGCGGGATAACCCGAATCAGCCGGCATTTCAGCAAGGCGGCCGGAGATTTCTCGCAGCGCTTCAGCCCATCGACTAGTGGAGTCAGCCATCATCGCCACATTGTAGCCCATGTCACGGAAGTACTCGGACAAGGTGATGCCTGTGTAGATGGAGGCCTCACGCGCTGCCACCGGCATATTCGAGGTGTTGGCTACCAGCGCCGTTCGCTTCATTATCGTCTCTTGCTTGCCATTCACCTCCACTGTTAGCTATGCACCAAATAAAGAATGTTCAGTTATCCCATCCATTTCTTCCGATGCATGTAGCGAATCCCAGCACCCAAACATTCACTAATAAGGTGCCAAAAGACAGAAGGCCACCATTACCACATGATTCACATTTCCACCGATTAGGAAGACTGAAAATTAACCAAATGGAGTGGATTAAGGAAATGATTTAAAACCAAAATCATCTTTGATTGCTGAATACAAATGTTTCTCGCCACAAGATTATGGATTTCAGTATCAACTTATCCACAATGTTCTAGTTGCGGAAAAATTCGCGCGAGACACTTCAATAGGAGGTATGAAAGTCTTAGGGCTAGACTAGCTTAATCAGCCTTGGGCTACAACAGAGGCCTTACGCACACAAAGCTAATCGTCATTTTGTGAAAATTTCACAACACTAAGTTCAATCATAGCTCTCAGAGTTGGCTGCTAGAAGAAAAAATTGCAGCAGAATTCCTAACCTTATCAAACGCCCGTGGATTAGCCTGTAGGAAGGCCTTCATGAGGAGGTGAAGAGGATACAGAAAAGCCGAACAATTCCAATGACAGCTATGTGTAATGGCCGACATATATGAATAAAATTGGTGATCCGATCTAATACCGTTAAAATGGTTGCCTGCTTGCTTCCGACAAGCCTGCATTTTGCTCATGGTCTGTGTTCTACAACCGGCTAGCGTAGGTGGGAATGCTGGAACGGGTTCAGGACATTTTGAGGCGTCAGAAGCCCTACCTTATATGAATTAATGACCTGTCCTTAAAGCGCATACAAAAAGGGCTTGGAGTTCGCTAACATATATACAGCGGTTTGTGGAAAGCGGTTCATTACCTGGTGAAGTCAAGTCTGTGTTTACAAAGGACTCCTACGCAGTTTGATCTAGAGCCTACCAATGGGTTATACCATCCATAAGGGCAGTGAAATAATTGTTGAATGAATGACAGGCAACTTTTGTAAGCATGGCATGCCTCCAGACTGACATCAAAATACGTCAACTAATGAGAGGCTCAACGGATCCATCGAATTCATCTAACATAAACGGTAAAAGCTTCTGTTTACTTAGACCTAAAACTCAACCTACAAAGGTAGCTACTAATGTAAACTACCAAGCTGCCAAGGAGCTAATGGAAAAAGTAATTTAACAGACCACAATAAATAATTCATTCAAACGGCAGGAGAGTAATTGACCACCTCGCCCTAACAGTAAAACCGTCAAAAAGACAGCACCCACTAGGCCTCCTTTATCAATTGCTTGGTCTTCCCTTAGAAAACAAGTCTATAAATACAAGAAATCGATCAAATGAATAAACAATTTAAACAAACCTCGGGGAAATCACGAAGCACCTCAGCCATTTCGTTACCACGTTCACCACACCCCACGTAGACGATTATATCAGAGTTGGAGTATTTAGAGAGGGATTGCGAGATGACCGTCTTGCCGCAACCAAAAGCTCCAGGAATGGCCGTTGTACCGCCTTGGACAGCGCTGCAGAAGGAAGGGCGTTCATTGACTTGAAGAGCTTTGAAATCGACTCGAAAAAGATGTGCCATCCAACAAATGGCTCAAGTAGCGTTCAACTAATGCGTTTCGCACAGACCAACAACGATGCCTAAAGGAGGGCTTGAGTAGTTGAAAGTCTAAATCCAGATAATAATCACAAGACTATTGCCAGCGATCGAGTTTTAGTGATAATGAGACAAAAACGTGTGAACGATTGCAAGAATTGCCCAATGGCGAGGTGAGAGAATAAAAAGGCCTTCGGAGCGGCAATCAGCAAAATTATCCCAAATGGGAGTCCTCGTAGTCCTTAAATGATCAGGATAATTGACTTTGTCCGCAATGATAAAAGCATGACACTCTTGCAGTTAGAATCACACACACACCGCCAAAATAATCAGTGTAGTTCTAGCTAAGCAGCAGAACGGAGGGAGTGAAAATTTTGCGGGCTTTAAACAACAGTGGCGAGACGTACACCAGACATCGGACATGGCTTAAAATAATCGGCTTGGAGAAATACATAGAGGCAGAGACCTAACTCCCGCTTGCTCACAAAAATTGCCCCACAATTTGCCGCAGTTTATGGAGATTAGAAGAGATTACAACCTAGGCAACACAAATTAGAAGATTATTTAACGGGAGTCAATTCGATGGCTGTTTAGATATGACGCTTGGAATGGAAACGAAAACACATTCACACCAGTAAACTTCACAAAGCAGTGCATTCACCACCAATTCTGGTCCGTAAGTGCTGGACTGCAAAATTTGAAGTGGACTTCGGGTATTTGAAAGTGACATCCAACAGGAAGAACCGACCTCATAAAATTGGATAGATTCTGCAAAATAGAGACAAAATGAAGCACTATTCGCATCCCTGAAGAAATCGCAGTAAGTCGCTATTGGCTGCGCAAGTAGAGGCTCTAGTGAAGTAGACCACCGTATGGTTACAAACATTCATTTGTCATCTCTACATCCATACTTTGTTAGAGCAACTAATTTTAGAAGAGGAAAGGTCGACTTGCACCCCAATTATGCACACCATAAACGTGCAAGAGCAATACGGTAGACGGTTAGTTGCGACCAACGCTACCAAAATATGAAGACTCACGGAAAGAGAGCGTCGAGAATTCGCTGCCCAGTGAGGAGGGGATAATTGGCGGGTAGTTTCTCGGCTACCGGCCGTGGTTGTCGAACTGGCCAGATTTGCAACATTGAATGCTCCGTGACCTCCCCATCAAATTCTGTCTCCAGTACCTTATCCTACAATGGGACGAAAATAAACTAAACGAGTAGAAGGGTGCACTCGGAACAAACAGATGGAAAGAGTATAGGCTTGAATAAACTTGATGCAAACGAAGGTGAATAGAAGAATACGGGCCAAGCAGACATCCGAATTGATGCATTAGATAGATTCGCAATGAGTGGACTGATAAACACAGGTAGGAAGGGTGAATGGAGTCAGAAGGAATGAGACATTGACGAGAGGACGACTATGTTCTTAGCGAATACATAAATAGATACAGTGAGTAAGAGTAGTGAATTCACCCATGTGGTATGCAACTCACTGTGATGTTATAGTTGCCCGAAGGCGCAATCCATCGCACAGTACCCATAGCCTTCGGCGAGAGCATCAGCTTATGATTTACGAGGGTATTTTCATACACCGAACCGAAAATGTCCCCACCCGTTATGTGCATTCCTGGTCGAAAGGTAGAGTTGGGCGTAAACTCCCACACTACCTTGCGGTCCAGAGAGGGGACATTGATGCCTTTAGGAATGTATATTGAGGACGTTAACTGGCGGATATCCTGCAGTGGACGTTGAATACCTAAACGGAGATTAGATTCCTATGCACAGTGTGTACGGGAAAGGGAACTCTTGCACAAAACTCGGTCTTATCAATACTAACTCAAACGAAGTAAACCCTAAAAATTCCCTTTTCGATACACCAGAAAGCATACTCACCATCGAAAATGCTACCCATGATACCAGGTCCAAGTTCCACAGAAAGAGGTTTGCCAGTTTTCAATACGGGGTCGCCAACAGTAACACCAGCTTAAGGAAGCGAGAGGAGCATGAGTTAAGGAGAAAACATAAAAGTAAGTGTAACATAATTTGGGTGAAGGGGAGGATACAGGTGTCCTCGTAGACCTGGATGGTAGCCATGTCACCCTCGAGCCGAATAATCTCGCCTACGAGGTTATCATGACCAACTCTGACCAACTCGTACATTGCCGAGCCGGCCATCTGAGAGGCCGTAACGACGGGTCCGGATACGGCGTGAACGTAGCCATAGAAAGACTCTTTGTCCAGTTGGCGCTCTAGCCTCAAATCGCCGAACGCTTTTTCCATACCTTAAGCGAACCTGGAAGGAGGTAAATTTAAATTAGGGTCACATAACTATAAGAAGCATTTAAATCTTCTAGATGTCGAAGGATGGCTTGGTAGGTCAGAATAAGAACCACCTTCCATAAATATGGAAACAAACTGGTGTCAACAAAATAAATGGCCTTGTTTAGAAGTTGGAGCTAATGATTTAAAAAGTAAAGCAGAGCAGATTATTACTAGCTACGTTTGAGAAGTACAAATCCTGGCAGGTGAAAGCAGTCAGAAATGAAAATACCACAAATGATAAATACAAAAAGTGGATTATTTATCGAATACTGGGGCATAAGAACATGAAATACAGAAAGGATTTAAGATCCCGCGTCAAAAAGAGGTATTGAAGAATCGAATGAGCGAGAAGTCTCATCAGCACAAACTACAATAACCAACTTAAAAAACGCGACACTAAAGCGAAAATAGCAAATCTTAGTTAGAAATAAGGAAAGTCGTATTCCCTTAACAAAGGCATGGATTGCGAAATGTGTAGAAACAAAAAAGTACCAGTTTCAAGAAATAAGTCAAAAACTTGACTGGATAGAATAAGTCGGACCTCAAAAATATAGATATGGGAAACAAATCCAGTTGAAAGCATGAATGCACGGAAGTGTAAAAGATATTCCATTGGAACAGCAAGCTTTCCACAAAGAGACTAAAATTGGTGTAATACCCTCGCGCAAAAGCGCATGTAGAAAGCAACCACATGCACTATTAAATACAACCCAAATTCTTCTTTAAGCCACTCTCGCACCACTCAGGGTGTAAGAAGCCAAGGGCATGCAGCTTACCCGAGCGGATTTGCGATGAAAGGAGGTATTTCGGCGGTTAGGCCTTGAGAGCCAACGACGTCAAGAGTACTCGGGGTACAAAAATTTTGGTCGATAAAAATGCATAAACTCGCTCGAAAAACAAGCGAAATTAAACTTCGAATTTTGCCTGGCGAAAGACTTTTATTGAGGTGAGGCGCGTCTGAGTTAAAATGAATCAGTATTTTATTATATGAAAAGCTTGACAAGGACGGCGGTTCGGACGCCGCACATAATCTTTAATTTGTTTAGATTTGTGTGCAATTTAAAATTCATTTTACTTACATTGTGTACAGGCGATAGCGCTGACACATCGACTCCAACTTTATCTCCGAATTTATTTGCTGATTTGTAAGTATAATGCAATAAAAAGTTGTGCTGTACGTTGTATGATCGAATGACTGTCTGAATCCATGCGATCACTTCTGTAGTCACCTTGTTTATTTAGTGCATATTAGCATGACCTGTGTCTTCTAGCGCTAAATGGGAGTTTGGAGACGTTACAGGCCAACCATTTGTCCGTCATATCACTTGCGCTTTGTATCATGATCATTTGGCCCCTTTGCAAGGTGATGGCTTATTGCATGTCATCGCTATCTGCAGTGCCTGCTGCGCTTTATTTTGATTAAAAGGCCATTCGTCTTAATGACCTCTACGCGAAGTAGATGTATCTAACACCTTCCACAGTGTTTAGTCTTCATGAGGTTACGAGATTCCTCTCCTTCGGTGCATCTTGTGGAACAAACGCCCATTCCCGTTTGGACGAAAACTTCAGCCAATTTCTAAGCGTGGCGTCTCCAGATTCCTCATTAGGAAATGAGACGAAACTGGATGGACGCCAGACACCCACCAGTTCAGGCAGTGCAATAGATAAACTGCCCCACTCTATTCTCATCCAAGAAGATACATAACTGATTCGATACCAAAAAATGCCTGGACGCTTCCTTGAGGTAGTCGCCGCAGTCCCCCATTAACCCACGTCCTTCCCTTCCACTGACACTTAAAAGGCCAACATACAAAAGCTCCGCATCAATCTTAGCTCCCCAGACGAGTGTACAACGATGTACAAGTTATTTTTTAATCCACTTAGCACTTCTACCGTTGTTTGTTTTTTTTAAAAAAAAGCACAATGCGCGCTTATATATCAGGAAGAAATGGCACGCATGAGGAAATATACGGAGACCGAAGAGGCGAAGAAATGCAATAAATCTAGTCAGACACACGCACAGAAATGAGGAAGTATCAACACCACTTCTTCTCTCCACGGTCACACACGCACACAGTGTTACTGAGTAAGTAGACGAGAAAACGCAGGAGAAAGGTGGAAAAGCGCAAGATTGACTTTGTGTTTGGTGATGTGAGGAGGGGGAGAGAAATAGAGGGAGAAGAGGTAAGGCGTGCGAAAGATGAATAAATGCACGGGAGAAGCTAGGAGGAATACAAGCCCTGCTAATTCAACGGTACCCCGGCGTGACGAAAGTGCTTGGAAGGGCGGTCTGTTGCGTAGCGTTGTTCGCAGTAGGATTAGGGACTGTGCTTATAACCTGCGTCTGCCCATTGCCGATGGGAGTGGCAAATTGCACGCCTGCCGCCTGCACCGCGGACGGCGCCATCACAATAGTGGTAGTGGAAGGATTGATTATCGCTGCGCCCATGGGAAATCGGCTCAAAATATACCGTGGTTGCTGCGGCCCTGTCGCTGTCGCGATCTGCACAGGACTTACCACCCGCAGTATGTTTGCTTGCGTTGGTGCGTTTACTGTCACAACCTTGGGATGAGAGGGAGCAGCAAAAGTTGCGATTTGTGGTTGGACAGTGCCGTTCAAAGGAGCGGCAGTAAAACGGACGGGCACCACCGTGGTAGCTGGGACGTTGGGTGTAGCAGTAGCGAAAATGTACTGCGGCGCAGCGGCGGGAAGGGGAGTGGAGGTAGCAGCAGTGGTGGACGAAGAGGTCTGCTGCTCCGAGTAGGCAGTAATACAGGCGCGCTTCGTCGAACCACTACGAACAACATCGGTCACCGATGGTGCCTGTGACTGCTGTGGCCATGTTGAATGGATGACGTATTGAGATTTGACATCGGAAGACAAATGTTGCTCTTTTGGCTTCGTTTCATCATCTTCTTCTTCCTCGCCATCAACGTCAGTGCAGGTGATATCGGCAGTTTCCTCCTCTCCATCCTCATCGTCCTCCTCCTCGAGAAGGACGCTCGCTAACTCAGGAATGTTTTTCGCGGTCATCTCAGCAAAGGGATTTTTACTTCGCGACCCATAACCCCGTCTCCGTCGTTGGCGTTGGCGGCGACGACTGCTACCGCCATCGTCGTCCTCAGTATCGGGAACGGGTTCACCAGTCTGATGCAACGCCGCAAGGGAAATCACCTCTTCTACCATGCTTTCTACAGTTTCCACACTCCTACCTTTAAAGAAGAAACAAAACAACTGGAAAGCCCTTTTGGGGAGTCAATACAAGTGCACAGTAAACTATGCAAGGGCGGTCACCTTAACAGCAAGTTGGCGAACTTAGATGTAGAGCACACCTGCCCCTTGGCATCCTCAAGACAGCCAGAGTAAAGTGTGCTTTTATTGAGTGCTAAGTTCATTTTCTTACATTTGGAGGTTTTTTGGAAGAGAATCTTTATTAATTTTAAGGACTAGGCGATTTAAGAAAATAAGTAAGCGAGAACGGAATGGCTTTAAATTAGAGAGGGGTGGAATATTTGCCTTAGCTACAACACATTAAAATCCAATCACAATCAAGAAAGTTTCATGAAGAATAATAAGCCTCCAGCCACATTGGCTTACCGTCCTCCCCTAAAAGGCTTATATAACAAAAGAACTCTGTAAATGGGTAACGATTAGGGAGAAACATCATTGATCAGACCTAACAGCTACAAAAAGTTTCCATAAGTGAAGCATAAATTCGGATAGCAAACAAGACTTAACAGCAAGGCCCTTCAAATAGCCATTGTATCCATAAAATAATCAAGGCATTTGTGTGACACAAATAAACCTCTGACATATTAAAATATTGCATCAGAAGGGGGAAAGAACATAAAACATACCTATCATAACCATTTTGCTAGTGGAAAAGAGCTTCAATGTATTCCTGGTGTCCTCCTCTACCCAGTAAGTCAACCATGGTCCCAATTCCGGCTCATAGCTGTTGTGTGAAAGATAGAGGAATTTAGACAGCCCAATAAATAAGATGAACAGAGAGCATAATCACGGAGGTTGAATAGAGATACCTCATAGCTCGGGGGCGTTCCTTGGCTAGATCGTCCAAGCGCACTCGGAAGGGAAGTTTACAGGTGGCCATGATGTTTAAAATCCGGTATTTTGTAAACCGGCAAGGGAACCCAACCAGAGAGATCCGTCGAGCTATTCTTCTTGCACCCTTCTTCGCATTCGCCAAACTGGGGAGCAAGACAAAAGTAGTCAAAAATGTCATTCATTTAATGAGCTTTCAACCTGGGTCGGAGTCCAAAATAAGAAGATCAAATATTCTATTACTAGGCTGAAGCAAAAAGCAAACAGTGAAACAAATGCACCAGATTCCGGACTATCATGCACACATCCACAGGTCATTCAAGGTGTGATTCTAGACAGATGTTTCATTATTGACTTGTAAAGAAGATCGCAATCAAAAGCACACATGCACGCACATACGGGGAGCAAGGGAGAGGGGGCGATAAATCACCCATTATGACAACTAGCGCCACGTGTAACAAAAATGGCTGTAACTGAACTGAATCAAAGAAAAAGAGTAGAAAGGGAACAATGCATATGAATAATCTGTAAACACTGCAAAGTTCAGAGCGATGGTTATCACGAAGTTACATATATAAGAGTATGATGTGAGGGAGCAATAATATAATGATTCATCTACGATGAAGATGAACGGATTGCGAAACGCAAAATAGGAAGGAGTCGAAAAGGACTCACGAATTTGCCCCAGTGCACCAAAATTTGCCACTTGACCAGATAGTTGCCACTATATAAGGCCTACGCAGCCTCATTATGACGTGCTAAAGTCAAAAAAATAAAGAATAAAAATCCCTAACATTCAGACAACCGGTCACATACACCGAAGTCCTCGAATTTCAGGCCTAAAATACTATCAAGGACATCGCGTTTCACTAAACTATTAATAGGTCACGCCGGAAACCAGCGCAGATAAAGCGACCTGCGAGGGCAGAAAAACCAAATATGAACAACTGGCCAAGCAGACAACAGTAATGACACAGCCAACTGCACAATGATTGGAATAACCCTCCCCCCACACGTGAGCGCAAGTGCATGAACAGTCATTAAAGGCTTTGACAACGAGTAACGCAATTGGCGGCTTGAGAAGACCACGCACGCCCGTGCCGAACCAGGTCAACCAATGAGGTTAGAATAGGTACGATAGCCCGAGCGTGCCAAAAGCGCATCTTAGATACTACTCTGACGGCAGGACTACACAGTGAGTAATTAAGGTTAGATTCACCGGATTCATTTTCCTGTATTATTGTAGATGATTCTAAACCAAAACCAATGCCAGTGACCAAACGCACTGCTGCGTGTAAAAAAATACAGAAAATAGAAAAAGGTAATTTACTCAGCCAACATCTGACTTAGGCCAACAATAAGATCCACTACTTAATGTATTGCTGTCATTTAATGAAAATAAAAAAAATAGGCTATAATAACCTCTAACGATACGGCAGAACTCTTACTAACAGGAATAAGACCTACGTTTTGAAGAGGGTTGTATTGTACGTTGACACCTGACCTGGCTATCTCCTTCAGACGCAGATGACATCCTAAGTGGGCCATACAAACCACGTTGGTGATGGTTAGGGTCACCGATGGTACTTCTTCCTGGGGTTCTTCAGTCGGCTCTTCGGGAACTGGAGCATCTTGAGAGTCAGATGGGACTGGATCGCCTCGGACGGGAGGCAGAGAATCAAGGCAGTCGTTGCTATCATAAGGGTGTCCATTCGATGACGGCGAAAGCCCAGGAGATACTCCGTACATATCTTATTTTGAAATAAACAGATGTTGCCCACCTTTTCTCAACAGTACACCGATTGCCTGACACAGTATAAGCGCAGCATGCCCAATTTTATTATGAGCGATAAATCAAGGGCAGCCTTTACGCCTCTACAGTGCATGAACTAAAGAATAACCACCAAAAGTTGTTCATCACATCAACAGCAACACCGATCCCTATGCATAAAAAGTGGAAAATCTAACAAAAACTAAATGAGAACTATGAACGACACACAAAGATGCAGTGTTCAACAAAACGATTTTCTGCCACTTAGAATCAAGCCGCCAATGAACATAGTCAACTGCACACTCATTCATTCCGTGCCTTACCGAAGCTAATGAAACCCTATAAGTATGTCAAAACCTTAGATTCACAGTCTCCCATTCATGAGAATAAAAACGACAACGTCAGAGGACAACCCGGTTCAGTAACAGCTGTAGTAACCCAGCCCAAAATGTCCTCCAATACCGATAAATATCATTTAAAACAAAAATAATTTGATAGATTAAGAATAGTTTAAGAAAGGTGATTATCCAAATGTAAACATAACTAAAAGAATACAAAAAATATAGTTAATCAGTCGAAGCGTGAAAAAGCTCAAGCTCTCTTAGATGGGGAAGACGAATTAACTATCATTAGAGGCTGGTCCAACTTTTGTGACCTATGCTACACAGTATGTATTTGCAAATGAATATTTGAGGCAAAATGGGTTAAGCCAAGTATGAACTACTCTCTAAGTCTGATCGCTCAGTTAGTAATTTTACTCCACCCAAAGATTTAACAATAAAGTCTTTGCATAAAGCTTAGCCCATTCGACCAATTGCAAACAAGCGAAACCTGTAAAATTTTACCTCGTTTACAAAATTAGAGGTGGAACCTAACGCCTATAATGCTTGCCTTCCGTTACGCCTCTGTTCAGTGGAATAGAAACCAGCAAATGGTTCCTAAAATCAATGTTTATTATAGAATATATTCACATTGGGTGCTGTTATTGGTTGAGGGTCAATAAGAAGATGCATAATGTATTTCTTTCCAAAGCGGCACTCCGATCGGTTTTCGCCGATCACATCGCAAGTGGTAGTCAGGTTCGTTCTTATTGTTCTGTATTGTGCGGAGTTGAGGCCATCAAGTCGGTATCGCCTGAGGGCCATTTTTAACAGTACAATCCTAGTTTACAAGACAGAACAAAAGATACATTTATCAATGCCATCAATATACAGGTATTAATTACTTGGTTCCCAATAATGGGGAGAAATAAGTTACTTTAATACGATTTAGGGGATGCATAAATTTTCTGCAGTCTATTGTGCCCTGCTTTACCTCTATCGTAAATCAGAGTCGAGAATCAGTGTAAAACTTGCTAACAGGGAGAGTATCAACACCTGAATTCACAGCACTGGAGTCAATTGGAATTGCAACCAAAAGAAATGCTTACGTTCTCCAGGCGTCTAGTCTTTCACTACTTCGATGTGGCAGCATAGTGTACCTTGTTGGATTCACCATTGGTCTAGTGATAGGAATGCCTAGAAAGGATAACCTTTAGAAAAAAATGAAGTAGCAGATTCTCTTTTGAGTACTAAAGTACAATGAATGGGCACTCGACCTTTACCTTTCAAACATATCGTCGTCTTCAGCACCCCAGCCCCAGAACATGTTAGAAAACCCATTTACTCTCAAAAAATGCTGCAGCGGGAGAGCCAGAATCCCACCGATTAGATTCAGATATGGCAGACTATAAAAAATGCAACTCAATTAACAATAATAACTTGAATTTGCCTGAACACAGCTCATAGCAATTTACCTAATTATGTCTAAAGTGGCTTAGTCATTTTGATGCTGGTATTTTTATCCAAAATTAAGCCACTGTGGGCCTTTTTTTTAATCAACTGAACTCTCCAATCAAAGCAAAGAGTTGCAGGCACTTGTCAAGGTGGGAGTAGATGAGTATGGGAGTACTTGTCAATACTTTTGTAAAAGTAATAATTATCACCACTTTCCTGTATCGAAACTTGTCGACTTTCACAGTTAAGTGGCGAGGATAAGAGGGGCACTCGTAGTACACTTCATCACCATCGACGGGTACCAAATCCGCATCGTGGAAGATGATGCAGTCGAAAGGCACTCGTTTGCTCATTTCCATCGCAGCAGCGTTCATCAGCAGGCCTTTGTTGAATGCAAGGGCATCCGTCTGGGATGAGAAATCAAACCTTTATTCAATGATCTCACCTTGCGTTGCTGATATCGGTTTGTAGCATGTAGTATTTAATTAATTAATCTAAAAAATCCGCAATTTAGAGGCTGAAGGATACTTACTTACTTGCTCGATGTGTAGAGCATACATACCTGTTCAACGATAGCAATGAAAGTGCAGACAGTTGGTCGATTAAGTAGGGGCAAAAGTTTCCTTAAAAGTGACCTTAACAGCTCCCAACGATCCCTGATGGGAAAGACCATAAGTACACGGGGCTGCTCGGATGCTGTACACGCCTCCTCGCAGAATTCAAGCGGAGTTTCAGCCGCGGTACTACCTGCCGACATCCAAACAGCCAATCAGCATAGGCGGAGGAAAGTAAACCAAGTTTAAGATGTATATTCTATCTCCTCCTCATGATCAGTGATTGACTGGTAGCCGATGAGTTCGATCTATTCACTGGTGCCTTTTCAAAAGCAGACTTCTTCTGGTTGGGATCGTGGTAGCATTCCAAAGTATATCGCAAACCATTGTGAGCATTATTATGACTGAATCTGTAAGTTTTAAATGAGCCTGAGGTGTAGCTACGTATGGACTTGATGGTTGCTCTGCTGTCACAAAATTGGCCTGAGGAAATCAAAGTCATTTCCTGAGAACCAGTTCCACAATTAACTTGAGCAGAATTATGGATACAGAACTATGATACTTCGTTATTAAAATTTCAATCTTACGGAGCTATAGTAGAACCCGAGTAAGCTCACCGTTGGCACAAAACGTAGACCTTATTCTATCCTGCTGAGCCAACACTTCCATGGCAAACTCTTCCACTGTCCTATTGGCCAATTGGGCCAAGGCCTGGAGCTCTGATACGAGGGCCACCTGCTTCGCCTTCTCGCTTTCATTTCCACCGTCACTGCCGGCAAACCGCCATTTCGAGGTTTTGTCAAATAGAGTTAAAGTCAACACGCCACCCAGCGCGATTAGTAGAATACTGGTAAGGAGACAGAGGGCTCTACGTCCACTCCTAGCCATAAGAGTCCACGCGCTCGGTTTAGTGATGTGTGCGTGTCTGTCCACGCCCGGCTAAGCGCGTGTACATTTTACTCCGCTACGACGATTGGCCACGATTTGCCGACCAATCAGTCAAGGAATGCTTTCGTCCACACGTTCACTACTAGTGTGATCCTGCTCTGATGTGGCAAAGATGGGGTACACTAGGGTCCGTCATAGCTTCCAAGCAAGTTTACGAGTAACCTGTGATTACCTGCTATATTTGCTAACACTGGTCATATCACGAAAATTTGGAGTCACAGATGGATACAATTGTAGAAAAAAGAAGCTAAAATCTTCATTTTGCAACTTTGTCACACTGTTTCAGCGTTTCGGTGACATGACAAAGAGAATATATAGGGAACAGAATTGGGTTGTAAAAGGCAATGGCAAATAAAATTTTACCCATGTTATGTAAACCATATTCAAATTAGAATAGTATAAGCTAAATAAAGTTGTTACTTATAATAAATAGTAGATTTATTTACTAGATTCATGTTGTCTAAGGATAAAATTCCTAAAGCTGTAATTTAAGAAGGATGAACTGTGTGAGATGATTTCATCCAGCAAAGAAAAACGAGCCGAAAATATGCCTCCAAACCTTAAATACACTGTATAACAAAGGAACTAAGGCAAACCACACAGTCACTAAAGGGGAATTCTTGGTAATATGCATTGTGAAAAAGCCGGTGACATCAATACCATAACTTTTAATTTAGTTGCGAAGCCAGTTAGTGACATCAAAGTGGCGTTATTAGCGTCCGATCGGACCCTGAATTATTGAGGCTTTTTCCCAAGTTAGTAAGATTTAATTTTCAGCTTAGATACTAATGATACTGTGACTTACATAATGTAGAGCAAATATTTCTCATAGTCAACAGGTTGATCCAGCAAGCCGTAACACTTGCTCTAAGAAGAAGGGCAGCAACCAAGCTTTCAGAATTAAGTAAAGTGAAATAGCAGTACATTTACCAAAATCCAAAACATAATGTCATTTGCCCTTTATTTTGATTTACCAGGCTATAACGCCTAATGGTAACCCCTTGTGGCACCGCGGCAGTTCAGATTGCTGCGATCCATGAATTTGGTGTTAATGAAGAGACTCTGAGAAGTTGTACAAAATTTAAAATACAAATTAGCCCACGCGTACTAAAGAGCTGGTAAAATTCCTTTTTTGATGACGTCACTGAGTTAAGCAGGATTCTACGCTTGACTTCTCCGTTTTCATTAACATCTAATGGTTTAAAGAAGAGTGAAACTTATTGCGTCGAATTATCTATTAGTGTAAAAAATGTAAATCCATGCAAGATTTTTCGAAAGGTATGTACTGCTCTTCTTTTTTGTCCAAACTTGAGTGAAATTTTGGTCAAGGCAAAATCAAAAATATCACGGGGATGTTCGTTAGAAAAATTTTAATATTATGGGTCTAACAAAGCTACTACAGTTATATCCAATGTCGTTTTTGCCTTGAAATCATTGTTTATTGCACTTTAGGGTGAATTTTTTACCGAGGTACCAATCTATCCCCAGGATATGATTTGGGTTTTCTAGCATGGATCTATTCTCCATGTCTACATTCTGTGGTTAATTTTCATCTCATTTAAGAGGGTCAAATTATAGAATTAAGCACGTTATCGAAACAAGGAGAAAAACTTTACTCTATAGTAAAACGACAATCTTTTTTATTGCGTGCTGAACCAGGCCTCTTCTTCAGACCTTATCTTTGCGTGCTTTTAAAAAATAAGTTTAGCATTCCTTTCATTGGTTAATGCGAGGACAGATTATTAATTTTTTAGAAACCATCTGAATTTCTCACAATTAATTAAGATGCTTTATATGCTTGTTTATAGTTCCGTTTCGGTTGCGTGGGCGCCTTAGGCTTGGCTATTGAAAATTCGTTTGGGGGCTTGGCCCTTGGGACTGGCTACAGGCTTTTTAGCCCGCTTCACATTTATAATATAATATATAATTTTTACTGGGACTTTTCCTCTACCATTGGAGGCTAAGTACTGTTTCATTAACGATGAACACGATCTGAAATTCTAAACAGTAACGCTAAGAAAGGACGTAGCTCCAATAACTCTCTAATGGATGGGCGGAAAAGTCGCAAGGCCTCTTCAGTTGCCACGGTCTCATTGTGAACGGTCTGGTAGAGTCCTTTAAGGGGCTCTCGGCACTACTCGTGCATTGATGCTAAATGAGAGAACATGCAACTTCCAATGCACCACGTTAAACAAATGCATTCCAGGACCACAATTGTAAGCTGGGCAACTTTTAAGTGAAGACATGACAGAATGAGGAAACTGATGGGGAACAGTACTTCCATGTGGGTATTGTATGACCCCATCTGCCATCAAATGAGTCCGTACTTGAGTCAGATTTTTGCAGCAAGTGATGGATAGGCGTGCTGGACAGAGCATTGCCTCTCTCCCCATGGGTGTCGCAAACAGGACTAAATCCTACTTATAGCTAAATTGCATTTGCAAGCATTTGAAAGTGCTCTCGGATCGTGGGTATCGCCCTTTACAGTCCCGATTGCGCTGCGGTGACCAAGGTGGAGAGAGCATCCATACTAAATCCTGGTTAGTTCTTTAACTCTTCATTTTGGCAACAAGGGCGCTTAAGGCCCCATATATGTGAACCTTTGCCCTGCTATTCGATCTTATGTCCAAAACAATAGGCTATTGTCCTCCTCTTTGTAAACAAAACATTTGTTCTCATCAATTATTTACTAGTTCTGCTCGACAATGTTACCATTGGTATCGGTGTGGAGAGAGGGTTTGCGATATTTTAGTGTCAAGTCTTGATAACTAAATAGGCTTGCCTCCTTTAAGCAAAGACCGTGAAACAATTCGGATCTCAATGGAAAACGCCATTGCATGCCTACTTGTCTCCAGTTAAAATCAGACGGCTTCATCTCATCGTAATATCCACTCCAGACAGTGCGTATCGTTCCTATAATTGTCACCACTTTTGCTAGCTCCCAGTTGACAGGTGGCACAAATTCTGGTCTACACAATCCAGTGGGAATCACTTCCTGTAGCACTCAGTAAGCACAGTGAAACTTGACCCTTGGCAATTGATGAGGAGAGTCTGAAAAAGGCTAAAGGTAAATCAACCAGACCTTGGTGAAAATGGTATCTACTGTACTTCCTTCGTCTTTTCTTATGTACAAAGTGACTAAACGAAGGTAGGGGAATATGGAAGGGAGGAATATAGCGGGAACGGGAAAGGATGGGGACTTCCAAACACCAAAGCGAGCACCACACCTACACACACATACACGCACAAAAACACACACAGGCGAGTCGCCAAAATGTCCAGATTTTCTAAAAGCCTTCATACATCGTGCCTATTCCCTGCTTCATACCAGCCCTTCTCTCCCTCCCTCTCCCCTTTTATCCCGCTTTCTACTTCTATCATCGCCACAGGACCAAGGGGGAGGAGGTAAGAAGGTTGGATCCGGTGCTCAGCGTCTGTGATTTGGATTCCTGTGTAGAAATGGAATTGTGCGAGGCGAGTCGGTCTATATGGGCCGATCCATCGCTTCAAGGTACTTCCGGTCAATCACATAAGGAATCAGTCGATGCCTAAAAGGCAGACGAAAACGGCAATGAGAGTGTTAAAGAGCCTTATGCAACAAAGCCGAGAAGGCACTCCTTAAAAATCTTGAGGGAAAAAATCCCCTTCTCCGGCTTTATTCCACTTTTGTATCTTCATTAAACATGGATGGGGGTTTATTTGCCCCAGAGGGTACACGAAATGGTCGTGCAGGAGTAATGGCAGAAAGGCAAATTATTAGAACCCTCCCAGTATAATTTTCAACTCCAGCCGACAGTAATCTTCACTAGGGTGCGCAATCCTGTGGAGGACGAGGCAATCATCACAATGGGGGAAGTGATTCTTCCATTGTCAGCTGTTCTTCATCCAAATTCCACACTATTTTCGGGGGTCAGTAATGACCAAAACATTAGTTTTAACAATTTTTGTCCAGTTTGCGGTGATTCTTTACCTAATTCTGTGTACAATAGGCTCCACAACCATTTAGGACTGGGAACTAGGGTCTTCGGTCAAGGTCATTGGTTACCTCGTGCTCTGCGCACCACCTTGACCCAGAGTTTCGGCACTCTATGCCTTTAGAGAAGTTGGGAAGCGTTTCATAGATATCAGTAGATACAAACTCAGTGTTAGTAGACAAGTGCCTCGGTTTCTACTACTGGATGATGGAAATCAACACGCCGGAAGAGGAGATGGGTTGTAGAGGGCAAATTTGTGATGACTTTCCAACGGAAGGACTAAAAATGATGTCTACTTTTGACAGCTGCCTCAATCTTGTATTCCGGAGGATTGTTTGGACAAACGGAAGTGATGGTAGCTATAAATTATTTGAGGGAGCTCATTAGCGACCTTTCTATGGTACGTGTATGGAGATGTTGATTGTTCAAATGCTCCTCCTCCTCCTCCTCCTCCTCCTCCCCCTCTTTATTCTTCTTCCTCTTCTTGTCACCCCTGTTGGATTAAAAGAATCCACCTAAATATGATTGGTCTGGAATGAAGGGAGACCATCGTGACATGAAGAATGATTGCCGCTAGGCTTATTGTTGGAAATACGAGATGTCGAGCACATCCTCCTCCATCCACCTCCTTTGAAAAGTGTCCGAATGGACAGAAATTGCAGGTCCAATTGATTCCTCAAGAGAAGTTCGTGGGGTTGTAGTTGGGCGGTTTGTCTATTAGTGCTTTTTCTTAGTGATTCACAAGGACAAACGCTACAGGAGGTAAATGATGATTGTTTATATGGGGCTCATTTTCAGTTTTGCGAGTACTTGGGTTTTCATTGTGAAGTGGTGTGGTAACTCAACCCTTCAACGCATCGACAATGCATTCTCACCCCAGAAAGTTTCATTCTTCGCCACCAGGAAGGAAGGAGGAATGTTCTAGGTGACAAATTAATGCATAAAATGGAGGCAGGTTATTTGGGAGCAACTTTTCAAATGTGCTGAGTGAGGTACAAATAGCACAGCGAATCAATGGTTGTAGCAGTGATCCACGAAGGCGACTCACCTTCGTCCCAATCATTCAGTCTGTCGATCCAGACAGTAATTACTAACAATGACACTTAAAATATGCGAAGGAATTAGCGATTTAATTCTCTACGACAAGCTTTTTTCACCGTAAATGAGTGGAGTTGGTGGGAGAAAACACAAAAAAATGCATTCAGGCAAAGTCACGATAGAGAAGGTCAAAACATTTGAAAACTGGAAGGCATACGGTGTAGCATAGGTAGTCTCTACCGTCTCAGTTTGATAGAGGTTTTCCGCCCTACAAAACTCCTCCCATGGAGATGAAGGAGTGCAGCAAACGCCCAATTCAGACATCTCAAGTACTTACCGGACGAGAATTTGGAGGAACAGGAGGATGGGGAAGACCATTTTAATGAAGGGCACCTCAGCAAAACCACAACTGCAGAGTACAGCCAGTTGAAGTAGCTGTAGGCCGGTGAAAAGATGCATTCTTCGTTGTGGCACTCGACGAATGTAATGCGAGGGCGGATAGGCTGACTGAAAAGGTCAAGAAAGCTTATAATATTGCGTAGCCTTCATAGCGAAAGTGGAGGATAAAATAAACTAAATAATAAAGTAGGTTGATCCTTTTAATGCTCCTTAAAAAAGACGTCTTTTTGCTCAACCCCCTCTAACAGCACCACGAATGAAAGGCAGCAGAGTTGTTGGAAGCATCTTTCGCACCCAACCCCTGCGGTCTCCTCCCACATTGCCAAAGGTTCTGCGTTGATGTGGCTGTACAAGTATCCAACGGTGGAACAGTGAGTGTCAGTGACAAGTCGAATGGACTTTGATTTAATGTTTTCGACCCAACGGTTCTAGCCAATCAGCGCATCGGATCTCAGGTCACCAACCCTGGCAATCGAGTCACGGTAAACCTGACTTAACTAATGCACTTGAACATCTTTGTACCATTTTTATGCTTAAAGAACCACTAGATTAAGCAAAATCTATGTAGGTAAGCTTCGCTTAGATGAATAAGGCCGGTGTTCTAGAAGTAGTCGTGCCGGTCAGAGAGGCGTTGTCAATCAGCATGAGTCCTTTGCACTTGGCTGCACTGAGATTTCACTAGACTACTACAAAATATGCAGGATTTTTGGAAGTCTGGAAGTATTACTTATGATTTTAAGGCGTAGGATTGCTACAACGGCGAAGAAAGCCTTAAAAAAATGGTCCTCCCCTTACCCACCCCCTCCACCACCTATGCAACGTCTCTGGCACTACTAAAAAAGTCGCTATTTTGGCCACCTCCAATGCTCCTAAGAAAAAAATTTTTTTGTCAGTTTACTTTACTATTTGCGTGGACGTTGCCAGCCTCAGAGTGGAACCAATCCCACCCACCGGTGACACGGAGGTCCGTTTAATGTCACCCACATGTCTAGGCAGTGGAAATAAAATTTACACCAAGAAATTTGCTTCAGTAGAGGCAGTGGAAGACTCGTACCTGTTCAATAAAGACCAACTGAATTCGCTCCCACAATTGATTGTCACTGACCGAGGTGACAGCCATGTAGACAAACAGTCCTGCCAGCACTGGTCGTGGGATGTAGGTGAGAGGAATTGGCAACATGAGAATAGACAGGCCAATTCCAAGGTGTGCCAGTATGGAGGTAATGCGAGTCTCACGAACCCGAGCCACTCTAAAAGACGTGGAGAGAAAATTGCCTGTTAACTTCACACACAGAAAAGACCAAAGAACAAACCGTGTCCCACATCCAGAGGCGGAAATGCAACCGCACAAACCCCCGTCAAAGTACCTTCCTACTTCCTTCGCCTTGGAAGACAAAAAAAGGAAAGAATTTACCCCTCACATAGAACGGAGTCATCTAAATTTAATCCGAACAGCGCCACTTGTGGCCTTATCATTCGACAATGTTGAAATAATGGTTTCCATTTGGCACACAAAAATGGCAATGAAAGGCGGGAATCACGATAGGGGTGAATGGAAGGCCAAAAGTGAAGCTCAAGCGAAGAAAAGGCGTCTTCTTTGGGTCTAAAAGAAGTGCGATGTGACTGAAATTTTGCTTTTATAATGCCTTAGCGCAGACTGTTGAAGGCCTTCGCCCAGCGCCAGGCTTTTAGTAACCACTGTGTTGATCTGACAACCCTCTGAACAGTCCAACATGGTGTATGATCTAAGCTTTGGAAATAAGCAATAACCAAAATTTTATTTCAAGTCATTGGATAAAAATGTAAGTAATTCTTCACTGCTTTGATAACTCCTACACGCTAAGAATCATTCATTCATCTGTCCACCACGTGCCCATCCCTCGGCCCTCCATGCTGCGCTGGCACGAGGTCACTCGTACACCCACCAGACATTTCCACCTTCCTCAAGTCCTTGCACCAACTGGCTTTACTCCTCACCAATTTAGATTCTTCCCATTTTATTGTCTGCCATCACTCAGTAATTTTGTTTTTTTTTTTTTACGACCTTGCCCACTCACTTGATGTGGGCACGAAGATTTGCCTCATTAATCACACCGAACACTAGAAAAATCCCTCTGACAGGTCCACCTTCATCCACCCCACCTCGATCGTCAGTAAGGCGTGGTGTGCCATGATCGAGGGTGGCAAATCTCACAAAATGCGATGCTACATCGCATCAAACCTCGCGTGATTTATCACCCAAGTCACAACTTGGACGCACTTCTTGGTGGTGCATTTTGTCGCCACACCTCTGCCAAATGCAAGTCTTAAGGCGGCTGGACAAGAAGCCACTTGATTAAGTTCAAATGACATTGTAGGTAGTGCGAAGGAAGTGGAGATAAGAGACATGTAGGTCAGTGCCTATGAAATTAATGCCAAATAATTTCCCTAGGAATTAGCAACCAGAAAAGGGTGGAGACTTGCATTTGTTGGACATTGTTACCAACGGTGATTCGTTCCTCCATATCGGCAAGTGAGCGGACGTGCATAGGTGATTGTGGCAGGGCGCCATGAACCCAAGGCAGACCAAAAAGGGAGAGGAGAGTGTTGATCACTCCCACTACGAAGAGGTCCCAGTGGTAGCTCGTTCCCTTCTTCAGTCTTTAAGGAAGGAGAAGGTAATCATCAAATAGCACTATTGCTGAAAACTGAGGCCAATGGTATGGAAGTTTAAGTCCTAAATGCAAACTCCTTGGTTCGTCTCACCATAGCGTTCAGTTTGCATTGCTAAACAAGAACGGAAGAAGAGAGGAGAGAGTTAAGACTTCACTCCGTGTAACAAAGCCGAAAACGTTTTTTTTTTGGATCAGCCTCCGCTGCTACAGGCATTTGCTTAAACCAGCACCAGGTTAACATCTGGTGGGCTTCTGTATAGACAGGTGTCTATATCTGAGAGCCATTCAAAGACAGTCTAAATGTTCTGACCTTTCGAGCTGACAAATCTTCACGCCGTGTTAAGGAGGAACTTTCACCTCCATAATTTCATGTCCATATCTCCAGACCTACACACCAGTTCAATGTCATTAGGGACGGTAACATAGTGCATAGTCTTTTTAACATCGCTAACATAGAGGTGTATGCAGTCTGCCTAAGGTCTCCAATTCTGCCAATTGGTTGTCTCATCATCTTTCGAATCGTTGTTAGCACATTACATATGGGTAGAAGCTATGTCCTCGTTCAAACGATATTACGTTTATCATCATGCACAATTGTGCCGTGGTATGCGATATCACTGACTTTCTGACAGGTTGATTAATGACGTCTGGATCTAGACTAACCAATTTTCAACCCACACGTCATTCCTCGGTATCATTTACCATAGATGTAAAGAGTAGGATTTTTGACACAAAGAGCTGCCTAAACGACAACGACCTACTTGTTAGAGGGTGAGTTAACGATAACGCTGGCAATGTTTTGTTCCATAAAGAAGAGGAGGGAGAGAGGGAAGGAGAGTCCCATAGCGCCCAGAATGTTTAACCAATTGAGAGTGCGGAAATCGATCACCTTCCACTCAAAGGTGTCCATGTCCACACTGTAAGGCTTTACTGCAAAGGAAAGTTGAATAAGAGGTAATTTTTAAATACTACGCGCTTGGATAAGTGAGGTAGAGCAACTAAAGTATGCCATACTTTGCCACCATATTCACTTAACGGGCCCTAGATTGCTCCCTTTCAATTGGATTAATCATGTTTCTTCTAGACTACCACGAACTCGAATGCCTTTAAGGCCAAAAAGAGGTGCATTTTCGTTCAAAACAAGACATTAGGTCCGAAAACATAAAATAGCTAATCTGCACCTTCTTAGTCAACAGGCGTTTGAGGCGGCAGTGTGACTCGACACACACCGATGATTAATGGGTTTTTACATTCTCGGGGGTAGTGTATACACTGGTATTGTTAATGAACTGTACGGTAGCATTTTTGTATCGAAACCATTGATGCTTTTTTTAAGCTACTTGCCATAGAGACTTGTTTTTCTATAAACGTAATTTCCTTAAATTTAAGCAAGGTATGGCCATTAATGAATGATCAGACATCCACCTTATTTCGTTGCTAAAAGGAAAAAAATTGCCCTTATAAACATAAATAAAATCATTTTCTGAGTTTGTAAATGAATCATTTTTCACATTGGTTTGCGTAGAACTGATTAAATATGCCTTGGAAGGACATTCTAGTTTACGCTATCTCGACCGGGCAAATCATAATTACTTGACTGCTGACATTATCTGAGAGAGCATGGTCAAGCCGAGTTAGGCATTTTTTTTCATGTGAAAAGATGTTGTCCTTACGTTCAACTTTTCTGAACATGTAGGAACCAACGAAAGACATCACGAGCACAGCAGAGGGCAAGGCAAAGTCATGGATCAGTTCCCTCTTTGTCTCAGTCAGAAAGGGCCTACAACAGCAACAACAATAACAACCTACCAGGATGCTGGTTACTTACACTACTTGTATAAAAGTTGATTGTTTTTCGATTTTAGGCAATAACGTACAATTTTGGGAATCCGCAAACGCATCTGGCAGGATATTAGTATTCTCGGAGGCAATAAATTAGCTTTAATATATGGCGTCTGTTTCGAGGAATCTTGGCTAAATGTTGATTGAATTTACAAGATGAGTAGAGATGCTTGACTTACTTCTGTGAACGCACGTCCGAGGAGGCAAGTTTACTTGGGGAGACTCTAGTGAACTGCAGATTTTCCGATGTCTAATAGGCACTTCCATGTCAGATTCGATACGCGTCAACTGCATTCTTGAAATTAAACTGAGCTCTTAACTATTCTGCTCTCAATTAAGTTCTTCGTGATATCAAGCAAGCACTCATTCTAATGCCCTTAAATGTGTGTTTTCTGTCAGCGTGTTTCCAAGTATTTTACTAATATGTTGTGACAAAGACTCACAGTTTCCATTCTGTTAAAATATGGAAGCGTCAGGATGCCGACATTAATAATTCTCAACTAGAGTCGAGCAGATTGTGGAATTTTTTGTGTCAGACAACCGGTAGTTGGGTAAATAATCAAAAGACTTGATTTCTTAGGCAAGGTGCTAATACCTCAAAGGCGAGTGCGTTTAGTGCAAAGAATGCTTTCTGAGCAGAAGTGAAGGATAGCATCTACATTTCAAATGAGTGTGCTGAGTTCTCAATTAACTACACGACCGTTTTGTGAATTAGAGCACTTCTTTAAAAAAATGAACGAAATGAAGTAAGCCACAAAGTAATGGTTTTTATAGATAATAGGTGACGTATGGGTGGCATCATTTCACTCAGAGGTCTCCACCTTCCCGCTTAATGCCAATGCAAGTTTTTATCTCATCAATTATGCTAAGCATTAGACCAGAGGGTCTCTGACAGATCCACCCCCATTTTCTTCACCCCTTGTCGACAGCAGCACTGGTTTCGCAGTTGCCCAGAACGAAGGGTCTCTCCCATTGTGACGCAGTTACGCATCGAGCTTGACATGATTAATCGCCACAGCTACATTTTAAATGCACTCCTCCTTTATGCGTTTTGTGGTTCCAACTTGGACGAATGAGTTGCTGAGACACTTGGATGACCAGAGTCTGCAGAATTGCAACTCACTTCAAAGTTGATGGCAGAAATGTAACTGCACTTGAATGAAACAGAAGGACTTACGTTTTGGTGAAGTTGAGCATGGAAATGCATATCCAGTAGGTGCAGGCGAGTAGGAGGAGATATAGGATGGCAACCTCAGGCTTACAGACGCCCATTGTCGCAGTGGCGTTTTGGGTATCGACGAGGTCCCTCACAAGGGTGGTGGGGGTGGTGGCGAGGGGTGAGGGGGAGTTGAGCAAGGTTTTGTTGGCATTATACACTGTAGCATCGTTTACAGGGACTCCTCGGCACTGATCAGCAGAGATGCAGTCAAAGTAATACGTCCTAAATTCTAAATAGAAACACACAACACCTATTGGATTCATGGATTTATCACTTTCTGCCTTAACTTATGCTGTTTGAGCTCCACTTAAAAAACGATTGAAGCAAGAAGTGTAGCAAAAGTATTGTAATTCAAATGCTCCTACTGTGGAAGCAGTTGGTTGGCAAATTCATTTCGCCTAATTTGTGGTTTTATCGGTCCCATATTTTTGGCACACCCATATCTGTAAGGCGAATTTCAGTGTTACATATCGGCCTTGACGACGATAATTCAAGTAACTACTGGGAACACAAATTGCCGACATACCGCATGTCGAAGCTACGTTTTACGAATTTGCCTGTTACTGCTGGGTTAGAAGCCTCTTTTATGAGTAAATTTACAGCATCTAAATGGCAGGTCGCAGTGTTGTTCAAACTCTGCCGTGGCAGCAGTGGTACCACCCAATTCCGCTGTTGTACAGCAATTTACAATAGTTTAAAGAAGTGAGACGCCACTCATGAAAAACCTTATCTGGTAACTCTTCTCTTTACCAGTCTAAAAAAATGTAACAATCGTAAGAATGCTAGTTTAAGCCTCAAAAGGAGGAAAATTGAAACTACTCCACATTAAATGAGGTAGAGGAAGGTTTGAAAATGACATTGGTAAATGGAGGAGATTTAAGTCAATTTAAAGAGCTTTGGTTGCAGTCTTGAGTCAGAGCCTTTATAATTGTTTTGCTTCACAGCTGACAGGTGACATTTGCATTAGCTATTCTTAAATTCTGGGCTTAGGTGTGTGTTTACATGCACACAAACCCACACACGCACGAGCACTATTGCAGAAACGCTGGACTATTTATTAGGGCAGGAAAAGGTGAAACTACTGCATCTTCTAGCTTTGCTGGCAAAATTCCCTCCTCTGGTGCAAAATTAGGCACAGACGCGCGAACAGAGGCTTTGCGTTATCAGTGTTTTGTACGTCAGATAAGTGTGTATGTGTGTGTGTGTGTGTGCACATTCCGTTCCTCCTGGACATAACACTAGTCATACTCCAAGGGGAGATGCACATGTAACCGTCAGCGATCAGGGGCCGTCTTACCCTTTGCGGTATCCCGATAGGCTTCAACTAGGAAAGCAATCGAGACAAACATAGCAAATATCTCTTCTGTTGACCTAAAAAGCGAAAAGAGGCAATTAGGTGAATAGGAAGGTATTTATTGCTATCAGCCATTGGATTTTTGTCATACTAAATAGTTGAAAACAAAGAAAAGGTCGCCCAAGAAGTTGCAGAAGCGTGAACATCCGATTTTGATGTACCGCAATAAAATGGGATAATCAAAAATTTTCCATAAAAGTGCCTTAATAAAATCAACGGACAGTAGTGACTTGCATTTTAGAACTACAATACGCAAGCTCATTTTAACTAAATTTCAGGCTTTTGTTTTGTATGTACAGACTTACGTCAGGAAGTGCGTATACTAGAGAAGTGAGCGGAAGATGAGCATAGGAAGAGGGAGCACTAGAGCGTCGTTTCAGTAATTTAACCACCCGCAGATACTTTGATTAATATTTTCACGCTAGGAATCACTTATTTCTGGCAGATTTTATTAATGCAGTATGTATTATTTCCTCTTATAAACAAAATATTGAGCAGAAACTACTAAATTTCCCCATCCAAGCACTGATTGTAGAAGGATAAGGCGACTCTAAGTGATAGACAAGGATCCGTATGTTTCCAGACAGGCAATTTTTAACCGGCTGAAAAAAACAACGGGATCTGTTAAAATTACTCCGTAAGCAAGTAATTTACTGCTCCTGCTTTGACGGAACCAATCAAGTAAGTATGTCTAACTTTGTTGCCGAATAGTCGCTAGTGCCATTAGATGTCTATCTGCCGCCAAAACAACCTAACCCTCCTGTAACAGCCACCTCCCTCGATGAGCAACAAGCGAACATTTGAATTGGCGACCTATGACCACGAGGACAACAAAAAAATTTCACTTGAGATAAAGACCGTAGTCTCGGATTTTAGTTACTCATCTTCAGCAAGACAAACACAAAAAACTTTAGTTCACACCTAAGAATCGCCAATTGAAAGGTAGATTGTGGGCCTTATTAATTTCCACTCTTTAGCATTTAAACTTTATTTTCTGTATATTGCATCATTTTGCACAATTTTTAGACTAGTTTCTTCTACAATTGGCAGTGATTTACTTAATTTTTAATCATATATATGCTTAATGATGTTAACCTCATCCTTGCCAGAATTTGGCAATTATGTAGGTACACACAAATTTCCCGGGTTGTGAGCTCAAAGTTCAAACCCCACAACCGACAGTACAGGGTGATGGAGAACCGTGTGAACAACTTAGCTTTTTACTGTTAAAAAAGGTGCCGTGAAGAACAAGTGAGATCATCGTAGTGGAAATTAAAAGCATCACGCAACATCTCTGACTAAAAGCGTCTAGTTATAACCTCATTTAAGATGGTAAAATTTTACTAACTGGGTTCGTTAATTTAAAAAAATCTTAACGAAACCGATGTGAAGATCACATGCTTTGAGATGGGTACCATTTTATGGTTTATCCCTATGACGTGTGAGCTGTATTACTCCACCTTGAAGCCGGCATGAAAACCAGTAAACGAGTTGGATCACTTTTAAAAGTATTAAGCTGGCTGCAATAAAGGAACATCGTGTTGCACGATTCTTATACAATAGGTAATAAAATTGATTAGTTAAGATCCAGTTAAACAATTAAAATTCAGGTCATCTTTAAGCCCTACATCGATTCTAACAGGTGTTAAGCATGATCTTCTGAGTACTATCACACCCCGACCTGTGTCCAACATTCAAAAAGCTGCATTCCGCATTTATATTGTTGGCGGATATTAAAAGGCTTAACCGTTTGCATTGTATGCCTGAATATACAGCCCTTTTTATCACCCCTTCTTTAACCCCGCTCTCGCCTTCGACGTCAACTAGTCAAACAGTCGTTTTCTAACACGTGTTGTTAATCAACTTCAATTTTTACCCATCCTCTGGTTCGGCAAATTGGTCGACTTTTATCTTTTCCTCCACAATGCACCGCCGACAGGAATCGATGGAACTGATAAGGCCAAATGACAGCAATTTTGTCCTAGTCTAACTATTTTCTAAGCCCTGGATCGAAGAAGGTTCATGTAACTTAGCTCTTTTCTGTGCCGTTATCAAAGAAACAAGACGGGGCAGTGTTGCGTCACACAATCGACCGAACTTGCCTTGTTGACCATCGCATTATCCGACTGGCGTCAAGGGCAGCGTAGATGAAGAGAAATCCAGCATTGAATAGGCCCACACAGCCAAAAAATGCGTAAAACTCCAAGTTATAGGACTCTGTTATCGTGTAGATTACTATAAAACGGTGAAATAGAGTTCATAGAATGAATCAGGAGTCTTAGATAGTCTCCTTAGAAACTGATTCTGCAAATTTTGCAGCTGTTTTGCTTTTTTTAATAAATGCAGGCATGCTAAAAGTCTGTAGGTAGGATTTGTCCGTCCCACCGACAGGGATGGTGAGGAAATCTGATGTCTGTGGTGAGATACCATATCTAGACGGAACGGACGGCAGGAAATTGCCGTAGACGGAGACATTAGGAACTGGGTAATAAAATTGCGCCACTTTTTGGAAAGCGCCACATTCGTGAACATTATGGGATGTTGGTTAGCTGGAAAGGGATGACTTACCATCTGCCAGCAGTATTTAGAGACAGATTTCAGGCTCGCGTAAGGCACTTTAATCTCATTTTCTACTTCCACTCTCACCACTACATTCTAAGGGTCTGAGTGAAAAAGTATGTGACACTGATTTAGCAAGTAATTGATAGACGTAAATACTGCTGAGCATATGCCATTTTGCGTGTACTACTTAAATAAGTGATAAGTAGCTGAGTGAAGGAAAATCCAAATGCACTAGCTACGGAGATATAGTCCCTTGAAGAAATCAAACATCATCCTAATAAGTTGTGTGCCGAAGCAATATCAACCACAACAGAAGCCTTACTTTTGTAGCTTTCCAAATTTTCCTCGTAAATCTGATCGGAAAGGCATTTGATTGCACAATCAGACGGCATGAGCAGAAGAGAACGCAATACTTACACTTGACGTAGATTGCAATAGGCGCAGTGGTGAGAAGAACTGTTAAGGGCTGTCCTCCAGTTATACCAAAAAAGAGACCTCCTATCGTCTGCGACAACAGTATCCGAAAGACGCCTGAAAAAGTGAGCTTAACATTCTGAGTCCCAGCAATTTTCAAGACGAACCACCCAGCAATGTTGATCATTTTAGTCTCCTTGCCTCTATTTTAAAGCTTTAGGCCAATATCTCGGACGATGCTTAACTTAGTAACCCACAAAACTTCAGAGTTTCTACTACGCCCAGTGGTATATCGTCTAAACTCCTTTGTCGGGGCAACAATTGTAGACCGTTTCGGGATATGAAATTTATCGGAGCATCGAGTACGAAGGTTAAAAGGGAAGAAGGTTTGGACAGAGTTTTGATTCTTTGTTTAACTTTTATTTTGTCGCTATGGACATTAATGTGTACGGCCGTTGTACTCGCGCCCTGCAATATGGCCTCCGGGGCATGCCGGCAGCCCCTCATCCCTTCTGGACGTTGGCATTGTTTATCCTGCAGAAGGTTGATTAGAGGGAAGGATAAGAACGGTGATTAAAGATGGGGGAGAAAGAGGCTGTAGAATGCTTTGACAGTTAAGTTAGTTCACAACTTTGGTTCCTTAAGTACTTAAGGCTCCGAGATTGAGTAACTACTGGGCGGAACGGTCTTTGGATGTGCCGATATCCCTATAGGCCTCTGCAGATCAAAAATTGCCCTGTTTGTCCACCTTTTTGCCATCGAGACTGTCTTAAAACGCCATTACCCGCTCCACTGCCCCGACCGAGTGAAGCACTCACACCAAGCCCAACAGAGTTTGTCATTTGGTGCGTTAAAAGTGGCTGGAGCAATTTTTTTTGCTCCACCTTCAAGTTCCATAAATTATTGTCAAGCTTTAAAAATGTCTTTCATTGTTCCGCAGGGCAAGAGTTGACTTTGAAACTTCCCCGCGGTTTGCGCAACGCGGCGCCTGTGGTGGAAACTGTGCGGCGTTTCACTTTTATCTTTTTTTTGTAGAAAACTAACACTAACGTGGAAGAGGAGAACTAGAGTCGGTAGTAAAGCCTGTCTCAGAGCAAATATAGATAAGTTCTGCAAGAATGTAAACCACTTTGACGAGTGTGTTGGCTAAAATCTTCAACACGCACAGACAAAGAAGACTTGGTGGATGTGTGGCCACCTTAGCACAGTCATGTACTTTAACGCCTCTCAAAGCTTTAATAAATAATTGACCTGCACTTATAAGTAAGGCTCTTTACAACTTGAGCTGTAATAATTTTAAGCGGCATGACCTTTACCCGACCATAGGTTTACTGGTATACCAGCGTGGCAGTAAACCGCATTAATTCATAATTAATTGCGAACTTGAAGACATTTCTTACACCTCAAATGTATCAACGATTTGTGCATACAAGTGGCATCTAAGGCACTTAATTTTTGTCTTCAGTATTTTGACACATTTTTTAAGGCAGACAAGTTGACAGTGTTTCGTGGATATCGTGGCAAAACGAGACCAACCAATTTTTCCACAAGTGTTATTGTAGTTGAGAACACCAAACGCGATGGAGGGCAGGAGGCAGGCGAAGTAGAGGAAGAAGACGGAGGAAGTCACTTTGCGTACAGTGTGGTTGCCTCGTACACCTAAATTACGTGGTAAAGGATAAGATAAAAGACACAGTACAAATGAATGAGCACTCACAGCTATTGTGATAGCGCCCAGATTCACAGATACGCATAGGTAGCTCGGGGATGAGAGTGAAGATGGAATGATGACAAGACACGAGGCTTTGCTCGTACAAAGCCGCACTAAGCTTGACTTCATGTAAATGTCTCTCCTCCCAGAATTTGGAGAGTTTAGTAAAGAACATAATTGAATTATTGTTCCACTCTACCCAGATTTGCTTGCTTCTACATCCATCTTATGTGTTATTTCCATAACACAAACAGCGTTCTACTTACCGACAAGGGATTTTAATTAAGAATGACGACGTGGATGTAAGTATTCCAAATTTTTTTACAATCTATCATTTTGTTTTCTTGGTCACTCCAACCTCAAAGCTGCAGTTTTACTGTGTTGGAGCTATGTAAGAAGCCCTACAGCAGGATGATAATTTATTTTCTACCCCAGGATTATACCTTCCTTAGCCCTTCGGACGGGACTAGCGACGCCAGTAAGGATGACGTTATTAACTTTCATGGTTTTAGCTCTCGCCCACGAAAGGCTTACTCATCACTAAAATTCTGTGTTTCAGATTAGAAGCTGGTAAAGAAACGTTAAAAATTGGCTTAAGAACTATTTATTACCAAATGGCAACATTGGTAAAGCTCACGATTTGGTTGGATAGAGACATAAATACCTGGCGTTATTGAAGCACAAAAAAGACTGAGCTGCTTGCTTTTGGTCACGGTTTATTAGTTGGCATTGTGGTAGCCTCCATTAAATTCTACAAGTTGCGCACCAAACGCAGTTTCACCAAATATTTTATTGCATACAATGACTCTAAACTTCAGCCAAGAGATCAAGATTTCTGTCGAATTCTACTCAGATTAAAATGAATAGATATTTCCTTTGGCACCTTGAGTGTGGCCTAATTATAAAGAGTTTAGCTTCCTGCTACCGATCACGTGTTGCTAACCTCGTATTGTACAGAGTGGAACTTGCAAGTTTAAGCTCTAAATCTTAGCTTTACCTCGACCCCGCAGCTCCTATCTGGATCCTCCCATGATTCAATCTAGCATCGAGGTCGATTCTATTTGGTTAACAAGTTAGTCAAACAACACGTATTCAGCAAATTATGAGCCAAGCTATTTATGAGAAGCCATTAAAGTGTGAGATGAAAACAATTCGCAGGACTAAACGAAATATTTCGCATAAATAAAACTGCAACTGATAAGATTTAGAGATGACTTTTACTTTCCACTTCAGCAGTTTCCCAATCACAATCTTATTCACATCTCCCAGAAATCAAGAGAATTTATACAGGTTGGGTAGACGCGCAGTGTTCTTTATTGCAAACGTTGCAGTCAGTGGCACCTGTGCCTTGTGAATTTTTCATGCTTTGCAATGGCACAACTGCCAGTAGAGTTAAAAGAGTTATATTTCTTGCAGAATTTCTCTAGCTCATAGGGCCACAGTCTTGCGTTATTTCTTTCAAAAGCAAAAATAAAAATATTATGTCCAGCCCTTTTAAATTACCTATGCTTCAGTAGTGATGTATTATCCTTTAACATAATCGCGTTCACTTAATTCACCAAACGATTCAAACATTGAAAAGGACCAAATTCAATTTCTCTATATTGAATACATCGACTTTTGCAATGCGATATGTAAATTAGTCTTTCTATATAGGCACTATATACGAAATCACTTTTAAACCACCATTATATTTTAAAAATTTTTTCGTCTCTCTTTGGAATTCAAGCACTCTTGATAGTTTAATTGCAAAGACACGGCGTAGTTTGTAGCAAATATCCGTGCTATTTCCAAATATGAATGATAACTTGGAAGGCATCGGACGCCGGGGGCATGTGTAGTCAATTCCAACCACCTGCTTTCAGGAAAAGTGGCACATGGTGATACACTTACCATCGATAAAGTCGGACGGGTACAAGGGCAATCGCCTCCGCAGATCAGCGATGAGGCCGCTCATCACTTGGCACCGCGGTCTCTGGGGAAAATGAAACACAAGCACTTCAGGTAAACAAATTTGTTATTTCATATTTTGTTATTCTATTAGCTTTAAAGCATCAATTATTCAATTCATAATAGAAGACTGGCCTTTTGAGGCGAGTGGAAACAAAGATTTGTATCGTTGAAGCAGTTTATCGTGATGCAAATAGGATTATCCAAGCAAATCCTGATGTGTTAAATCAGCACGCGATACTGTATCGCCTCCGTCACATGAAAGTTTTTGTGCTCACTTTTCCCCGTGGACATTCAGGAATCACGAGGCATAATCACTCATTTTTAGCTTTGTTATGTAAATCCCAACTCACCGGTTCCAAACAGTTGTCAATGAGTTCGTCAATCCTGTCAGGTGCGTGTCGCAACTGTTCGTGTTCCTCCTCCAATTCGTGCGCCCGGGCGCAAAGGAGAGCCTTCACTTCCTCCTCGTCTTGAGCGTATATTAACTGGCGCCGAAACTCAAGATCAGAGAGAATGGTTGCAAAGGTTCGGCCCAGTTCTATCTCACACTTCGTCTTTTTCTGCAAAACAATTATTCATTACCATTCACGGTCAAGTGGTTTTAATGACTGAAATAGGACTTTATAGCTACCGCTTCCTTGGGATCTAAGGTGTTGCCTCCATGAGTGTTTTGCAAAATAAAGTACAATCGTACTGACAACCAAAAGGTCCCTCAAGCAGGGAATCCACAAATGCATTTATAGGTCCCTCGGAAATAGTTTGCTTACCTCCTTCTGTGGACTTATAACAAGAAGGATAATCTGAGTACCCTCATTCGAGCGTCCGAGGTTGACGGGGTAGGCTAGCCGAGCCAGAGCCAAATATCGCTTTTGAATGTTCTTCAAACTGCATCTAAAATGTCCAAGGCCAAGGCGGTGTTTGAGGCAAAGATTTGAAATCCAAAACCTTCAACGTCCCTTATTTCCCTCCATTGCAGTTCTAACGCCCTTTAAATGATAAATGGCTAAAGCTGCCACAGGAAATGGTATCTATTTTCTTCAGCGACAAACCGCCACACACATGAAGGTGGAAAAGCAAAAAAAATCTTATTGAATTTGGCAAGCATTACTTACAAAGCACAGATCCAACTCTGATCCATTGTGATGCCCTCGTTTTCATGAAATGATACCGACTTTATAGTTTTACTTAACCGCCTGTCTAAAAAGGACAACAGAGCGCTTTTCAATTATAAATCAGCTGTCATATCAAATTTTTAACGTCGAGTTGATGTCTCCCCAACAAATCATGGAAGAACAAATTGCATTTGACATGTTTTACGCCAAAGCTGCTAATCAATCAGGAAATTAGCACAAAATCCGATTCGATGTTTTGAGGTGAAGTTTCTTCAATCACTCATTCTCCGCAACATCATAATGGGGACCATAATTAGAATGGAGTCTTCCGTTTACACTTCTTTTGCCTTGGAACTTTTATATGAGGATTATGATGTGTTCCACACCCACATCCTTCTCTCCACCGTCAAGGTGACTTCCGCACACTAAGTGATTAGTCGCGGTAATAAAGATAATCACTTCTGGCTTTGTCATTTGCAGCTACTCCCAGCTCTCTACGAAGGTACTAATCAGGAATGCCAAGTATTCCGTGAACCTGGTGTTCACTCCACTTAAAATAGCTCTCTAAAGTGTTGTTCACTTTGCTGAAGTTTTCTTAGACAAAAATAGGCGCAGAGGAACTGCCATTGTTTAAAGCTGTGTTTACCAATATAAAGTAAACCTCATACTCGAGGGACCATTTTTGCACGAATCGAAGCGTTAGATAATAGGAATTTTTTCCTTAAGAATTCACAGTTTTAATAAGTTCTGTTGCTGACCCAACCTTACCTTAAACTATTGTTTAAATAGTTCATTTTTTAAGGCAACGTTTGAGTGCCTCTTTTTTGTCTTCTAAGGCAGGCCTTGTAAAGGAGTTCAGACTTTGTGCTCCACTAGACGTTGCCGACATCGCAAACAACACTGTGGTTGCTGTGTCGACATTTCCAGCGACCAAAAAAAACTTTGCACAGTAAAGGAAACACGATGACGCATTTCTTTGCTTGCTACTTACAAAAATGCATTGTTTAGGATGGTGTACAACTTAAAATTGGTGCTTAAATTATTTCTGCGTACAGTTTGATGAGTTATTTTGCATTGGCATGGATTTGACTTGTGCCCAAACGCCATTTTTCACATGCTAGTTCATCATAACCCTAGCTTGCTCGAAACAATGCCGAAGTGGGAGAGTTACATTTTAATCTCTGCTATTCGAATGTTATCAGTCAACTTTTGATTGGCTACGTTATGTTCACAATGAAAACGATGAGTTAGAGCGTCCTTACATTTCACGAATGTAGATTTTTTATGCTCAGTCAACATTTGATGTGGCGTGGTGATTTATTCCATCTTAAAGTTGCTAAGTGTATCGAGGCTTTAACAAAAATGACTAAAATAGAGGAATTCAGTGACGACAAAATAGCGAAATTCGGCTGGTAAACAGTGGACACATGCATGCCAATGTTTTGCCAGAATTTTTGCATTCAAGTTAAGTTTCTTACACCAAGAGAAACTTTTGAACGCATTACAGAGCTGTTAGATCAGTACTTCTATCATCACGAATTTTTGGATCTTTAAGTAACTATGATCAAATCTTCCGATTAATTCAAAATTTTGTCGGTAAAACTTTGTTAACGAAATGTATAATTTAGAAAATAAAGCAAAACAAAAGGCATCTTTTTATTGGAAGGAATATTCCCACGCTTTGTAGAAGATGGCTATAGGAGGGGTTAAAGTACGCCATTTCGCAGACAAACTATCAGACGTGGAAATCTTCTCACCTTAACATGCTCTAATTGTCACATTTAAACAGAAAATCTGGAGGTGTTTGCGTTAAGCACCTGTTTTTTAATAGGCTGAATTAAGGTGCCAGGTAAGTAAGTTTGAACGCAATTGAGGAGTCGTGGACTACACAACCAGATATTCATCCCGTACAAGCTATAAGTAGCGCCAAAATATGCATAGAAGAAAATTAGAAATAGAAAGTTAAAGACATCTCCAGACGTGTTGCCTATCATAATTTGGGCATAAATTCAGTTTATTGTTGTTATTTACACAGCACCAAACAGCCTTGCACGAATCAATAGCACAATAAATAGGGTAAGTGTGTTATTGAAGGAAAGGCAAAAAATTTCTTGCAAAACATTAATGAACTGAATTGTGAATAACCAGCTAGTGGAGGGTCTCCCAGGTCCAGCGTCAACGCGCATTCACTGCCCGCAAGAATTTAATCACTAGTATTCGAAAAAGTCGCTAACCTCATCATTGAACACCTCGTCAAGCCCGATTCTTTTTGCACAAAAATGCTATTAAGGGTATGCACATGTGCTAGTTTTGCAGATTTAACATTGGCACATATCTCATCCACCAAACTGCTGTTTCCGAAAGGGTAAAGTGAATGTTGTTCTAGCTGACTTATTCTTGGCACACAGCCCCCGATAGTGCCACTATCACGCCTTTTATCACTGTAACGAATTTGTACATCAAGCAACGAGAAACAAATGCCACCCAAGCGGCTCGCTTGTAAGTCAATCAAACAGATGGATGATAGGCCTAAAAGTCGGTAGCTCTGTTTCATCACGCCCAAAACACACCAACTTCTTCAATCGAAGCAGACATCGTTTTAAGTTTGGGAGGCTTTAATGACCTAGCAAAAGAATACTTTTCTAGATAACTTAAACAAAAGTGAACTGGAAAGTTGAAGAAATAATTTATTGTAAACGCGCCTAGCCAGGAAATAGAATTAACCCACTCTACTAAATGTATCCTAACTACTTCAGCGATTTTTACTTGCTGGGCAATAATTTGTCCTCCTCTCTAAAAACTTACATGCCAGGTCATTTTGCTTTATTTCCAATAGCAGTGCCTTTTTCGCCTCCTCAATGAGCTCGTCCTTATTCAGTGCTGATAGCTTTGTTGTCGTCGCAAAAAGGCCGCTTCCAGTGGTACGTGTGAGAGTGTGGGATCGGCCGTGCACGTGCCCACCGCTGTTGTTGATGCTGCTAGCGTTTGTGGCGTTGTGACTGTCTTCACACTCCAGTGTGGAGCCGTGCGGTGAGTGGTTGGGCGTGAGGAAGTGTCGATGTATTCCACTTATACCAGTGGGTGTAGTAGCTGCATGATTGAGATGGCCGGGTGTCTCGGTGAAGACAGCCTCCAACATGTCATGAATAATTTCTTCAATAGAGGAGGCCTCCAGATCCAAAAGGAGGGTTGCACCCTTGATGAACATCTTAATGTCCATATTGGCTCGCACTTCTGCGGAGAAATCCTTCAGCGGAAGGTTCTACGTAGACAAACATTTTACTCAACTGCTTTTCTAAATGCACAAACATTAGTGAAACCCCAGTAACAATATTGGAAAGTAAAATCTCCTTTGTTAGAAGTAATTGAATTCAAAGTGTTTTACCCTTTATCCACATCTTTTAGAGTGCAACTTCTAGTGACACCCTTGGAAAGAAATTGGTGCAACCAAGCCAAGGCGCCGATAGCACCGTCTTTATTCCAAAACCAACATTCTTCCTCCTAAATAAAGGTATTTTTATTATAGAATGACGTGATTTGCGTGCCTGAGGTGCAATTAGCAGGCGATTACTCTCCTGAACAGTGTCTGTGGCAGAGGAGAGAGTTATGTAAAACTTGCTCTCCTGCTACCGTCGTTCAAAAACTCTTAGCCTACGCAGAGTTGGGTTTTTCCCCACTTTGGAGTCACCACCTTTTAACTGCCTCCTACTTATCCATAGACTAGAGGTTTATTAACAATTTTCCCGTATTTGCTTCTTCCACTTCACAGTTTGTCATGGTGAATAGAAAGACATTTCTACATGCCAAACTACTTTCCACCAAGGTATAACTGTTTATTTATGACCAAATCATTGGAATTTATGACTCGCCATCCTCGAAGTAGTTTGGTAGCTGCGGACATTTGCAATGAAGCATTAACAAAAAAAAACAGGGACAGTTCAGTTTTCCACTCACCTGCAATTGCGAGAGCACGAGACAGGAGGGATGACAAGCTGTGAAATTTGAGGAGAGAAAAGTTTATTCACCATTTGCTTAATGAGAAAATAAAGCAACTATTGAAGGTGAAGTTTACTTCAGAAGGCTGTAAAAAAGAGGAGTTTAGTGGTGCTTCTGGAAGCCCCCGGTGTGGGATCAGCAAGGTATGGGTGAGGCAGCAGATGGAAAGGCGTGAAAACGAGGTATGGAAACTTCAATTCCATGAATTTTATAGTTAAAAAAAAGGAACGAAGATTTACAACACCTTGTAAAATTCGCATAAAAATGGCATTTAATTATTCAACAGAGAGGTATACAATGGGTTGTTTGAAAGTAGTTCTGAGAGGGTTCGTGCTTTAAAAAACAATTGCTTGTAGAACGTGCATACTAGAAGGAATAATTTCCTTTCCTTTCTGGTTGAGACAGCCATATTGAGGCCATATTGTTACGCTCAAGAACCATTTTTTCACCCTGTGACTCAGTGGTTAACTAAGTAAAAACAACACTCCAAAATTCCTCTTGGCCATCATCATCGACATCCTCTAAACCTAATTTAATTTCGTTAAGTCGACTTCTGATTGGCTGGAGCACCTTGGGCTTCAAGGCCAGTGGGAAAGACCGCAGTTCACAGGCTCAGGTGTTGCCTTCAAAAGTGTATGCACAGTGGACAGCACAGAAATGCTCAGCGCTCAGTTTATTCACGATTATTTTCATTGCTTCAGTGGCATCCCCGAGGTGGGAATGTCCACGCTGTAGGCTATCTTCCACCAAAACGGCAAGGTTTGTAAGACTGAGTGAATACGAGGAGAGGGATGGGAAGAAGAGGATAGAATCGATTCACTCATTCATACAGTTGGAATGCGACCGAAAATGTAACGTTTCTACCGTCTCTGTGGGGTGTGTAAAGGGATCGGACATACTGGAGTTTTTTGTAACAAAGTCAACACTGCATTTACTCATCAAATTTGGTTGCTATGACATTAAGAAGGTGTAGAGAGAGCCCAAACCCTGTAAAGGTGTAAGTTACAATTAGCCTTGGAATAACGTGACCTCGCGCAAGTGCCTAGCTTGTGGTAATTTAGTGATGACTGACAATCATACAGTTGACCTTGCATGGCTTGATGGAAATATGATCTCGAAAAAAGAGCCGCTCAAAAGAACTGTGAAAAGCTTTCCTTTCCCACTTAGAGCAGATGGAGGATAGGTTTGCCCCAGGCCAAAATGCTTAAGCTTTATATTCAGCCTGCAGTGAGTCGGTAAGTAGGCTCTGAGGAAGGCAATTAGAACCGAAGTGATGGAAAAACTCATGGACAATAGGACTTACTAATACCTTTAGCAATAGAAGGTGACCTAATGGCAATGCATCAGTCAGCCTACTTAAATTACATAATAAGTAGTATTGTAAGAAAGGTCCTTGTTTGGTTTACGCAACAATGGAGGGGAAATCATGCATACCAATTCTTGGCTATTATCCAGTTGTTATTAAAGCACGTTGAAGATTGAGGCATGCGCCTCATCATGTGGTCTCTGGGCGAACCTGCCGGTACAGCTCGAAGTCTTCTTGCGCTTCTCGCCTCCACTATAGATTGGCCGCGAAGCCACAGACAGTACGAAAATCCACCCTGTTAAATCTCTATGACTTGGAGTTCAAGAATTGTAAAAAAACCAGAATCTAAAACTCTCAGAGAACATTCTACGTCAAAATCTCCTTGCAAATGACCCACTCATGATTTGTTAAAATGGATTTTACGGAGAGGAAAAACCTCACATGGAGGCAGAACTGTGTGGAAGGGTAAGATTTACTGATTGGGAGTTAAGAGACGGCGACAAGCAGTGTCCAAAACGCTTCAAAAGCAACTCCGCGGAAACTAACTTTTGCTGTAAAATGGTTTAAAATTGCCAATTTTATGAGAGGCTTTTGGTTACACCAAACTACCGACGTCATGAAGTTTATTGCAGTGATTTAATGGTCCAAGTCCACATTTACACCCTCCAAGGAAATGGAGCGGACGCTGTGAGTAAGGTTACATTTCTGGGACATGTTGACAAACTTTTCTACTAATCGTAGTCAAATTAACTTGCCAATTCCTCCTCCTCCTCCTCCTCCTCCCCTCCCTTCTGCTTTTGCCTTTTCTTTCTCGGCCGTTTTTACCCTCCTCCTACTCCAATAACTGCGGGTCAAGTTTTAAAGTATGACGGCGGTGTGAACCTCCAAAAACTGTAAGTTGCTGAGACCAAAAAAAAAAAAATTTACTTGGCTTATTTTCCTTCGTCTTTTGCATTGGGAAAAAATAAACTACAATCATAAGACGGGCAGGTGGACGCGCCTCATCGTGGGGTTCAACACTTCCTCGTGGTAATTAGAAGTGACTGAAGCAAATCAACTGACCAAGAGGGGAGGAGGGCGAGACTACTCCGAACGCCTCAATCCAAAGGCGCTCAATAACCTCATTCGAACTCGTAAATTAGGCGAGAAGAAATGAACATTTTTACTTTCTTTCCCTTTTTCAAGGCTCCCAAATGCTGAGGGGTATGATTAGGCCAAAAGTCGATCCTGTCTTCTTACAAGGAACGCTTGCATAACTGCCCTCCCATTCTCCTCATTTTAGAGCCCTCCCATGTTGGAGGCAAAGCAACAGCCTTTGCATCCTCTGACATTCTGCAGTCCTGCTAGGCGACAAATTGAGACGCTAAACACCGGTAGAGGTCATGAAGAAGGTCGTAGCAAGTGTTCATCTAGTCCAGGCTTGCCTCGAAAGGCACTTTAGTCGCTCCGTCCGCGTTCACAGGGAACTCGGAATACCGGTGTCCGACGCAGGCAGCTTACTTTACACGATTTCGGAGCCGCGTCATCTTGAGGCAAACATGATGATATCTGGCATAAAATGTGACTCTAAATTAGCATCCACACACACTCTTAACTCCTAAATTGTCGAAAATTTTTCACCGACAACTTCAATCTCCCGATGGTTAAACCTCTCATCCTCTAGATGGTGCGATTAGTCACACCTCCTGCCCCATATCTGCCCGATAGGGACTGCTGATTTAGAGCCTGCTGTTGCATTAGTAAATGAGTTTTTCGTACTTGGTATAATCCACAGCTCTTTAGCTCACCGCTACCCGAGGAGGGCTTAATTTCGTTGTGAAAAAGTTTCCTCCTACTTGAGTTCGTTTCTGTGATGCCAACTCTGCGGCGACTCCATTGGGTGGGATCCAGATCAAGCAGCAATATCTCAAAAATGAACCTTTGTAATCAGAGAACCAAAGCAAACACGGATTTCATGTTAAAGATTTTTTTGTTTTAGAAAGGAAGCAGGCATGGACTTAGAAACGAACCGATCACCAAATTGCCTAGAAATGTGGAGTTGTGTGTGCTTCCTCATATTATTTTCCC